CACTGTCGAGATGATGTACAGGATTGGTGCCGCAAATGTACTACTTGCGCTGCTGTAAAAGGACCACAGACCAGAAGCCGTGGAAACCTGCGGTTGTATAACGTCGGTGCACCGTGGGAACGAATTGCAGTTGACGTAGCTGGGCCATTTCCTGTAACGGAGTCGGGAAACAAGTATTTTATGGTCGTCATGGACTACTTCACCAAATGGCCCGAAGTGTTCGCCATACCAAACCAAGAAGCTACAACAGTCGCTTCTAAGTTAGTCGAAGAAGTGATATGTCGCTTTGGTGTGCCTCTAGAAATCCATTCCGATCAGGGCAGGAACTTCGAATCGCAGGTATTCCAGGAAGTGTGTAGAATTTTGGGCATGCATAAGACGAGGACCACCGCGTGCCACCCACAGTCTGATGGAATGGTTGAGAGATTTAACCAGACCCTTGAGAGGCATCTGGCGAAATTGGTAGACGACAAACAAAAGGATTGGGACAAGTATATACCACTCTTCCTTCTGTCGTACCGAACCGCCGAACATGAGAGCATAAAAGCTACCCCGGCGTATGTCAATTACGGTAGAGAACTACGATTACCAGTAGACCTATTGACAGGAGGGTCACCGGAGGGACCAGAGACCGTACAAGACTATGTCTGCAATTTAAGAAAAAAAAAATGCGCTATATACACGCCTTGGTTCGGGAAAATGGGTTACAGTCAAGTGAGAACATGAAAACCAGATACGACCGGAAATCGAACACGGACGGCTTCGACGAAGGGTCACTGGTGTGGCTGCATAACCCAACTCGTCGGAAAGGGAAATCCCCAAAGTTGCAGACCAAGTGGGACGGTCCATACAAAGTGGTTACCCGACTGAATGATGTGACTTATAGGATTCAAAAGCAACCAAGAGGGACATACAAAGTGGTACACATAGACCGTCTGGCGCGTTACCATGGCAGTAACAATGATGCTCGGGACGATCATCTCTAAGAGGGGAGTAGTGCTATGAACACACAAAGGAACGAACGCCATCTAGCGTCAACTATTAAAACCACTAAAGAACAAAGACGACATAAAACCCCCTATTCAACACTAGATGGCGTTAGAGGAACTGCTGTGGAACTATAGTCTCGAAAACCGGGTACATTCGCGAACTTTCCGGAATCACGAACATGTTCGTGCGTGTCGGGTACGTTCCAGGAATGATCTTTCTGGATTAGTCCGGAACCGGTCTCGGCCCATATAAAAAGCCGCAGGGAGGCGAGCGATGACAGTTCAGTTTGAGCTACCTTCGAGGCGACTTCGGAGCGAAAACTAGTGATCAAGAGCGATACCAGTGAAACCTACGACTTGGCTACAATCTAGGACATCGTTAGTGCTTAGTGATTGGACCTAGTGCTTTGTGTTGGACCTAGCGCTAGTAAGTAAAGTCTTCAAAAGAGTCAGCAGGTCTTTCTCTCCAAATCCTTCGAACCCCTAACACGTAACAATACTATACTACAAAAGAAAACTATGTTTAAGTATGTTTATCAGTTATCTGGTACCCATAGTACATTTTCTTTGGAACTAGAATTTAGTAAAAACCGGTGTAAAAAAATGTGTCCTGACATTCTACTAACTCGAACTAATACGTTTTGCTTTGTCATTCATTATACGAACAGCGAAGGAATGGAACAGTTTAGACAGCATCTGTCTTTCCGTCCGAATGTAACGTGGGTTTCTTCGCGACAAGATTGAATGGGCTTTTACTGAGCTAGAGCGTTTACCATCCACGGCTTACATCGCTACTTACCACTAGAGTGATATCAGTCAAAAATAGGCAGCCAGTATAAAAAGAACAATAAGGTCGTTGAACGGCAATTTTTTTTATCAATGTGAAAAGTTGCGAGCAGGCGGTTCACCTGATGGTAAGTGATTACCGCCGCCCATGGACACCTCATACACCTTACGGTTTGCAGATGCGTTGCCAATCATTATAAAAGAGGACTCCGTTTACTTCAATCACCAGACGAAACGTGTAAGTATAACATTTCCACTTCACGCATCTTCTGTGAGGCCGTGGTACTTCGCCGGACCAACCTGTCAATTCGTGCAAGAGCAGAAACTGCAGCGTGGCCCTACCACAGAAAAAAAAAAACAGATTTACTAAACTATTCAAAACTTCTTTCACTTCTACAGTTTAGATCATACGATTCGCTGCAAATGTTTGAAGATGTATAAGGTAATTGATTTGGTGGTAATACTAATAAGTTTTATGACCCTGGTGATGCTCAAATATTCTTCTTGATGCGGCATTGTTGATATTGTCTTAAACGATTATTGTCGATATGTTGCCAACCTTTAAGAGTGAACCCCGTATACCGCATAAATTACGCACACAGTTATTGTATTCTATGGTGATATAATAAAAAAGTTTTAGGTGTTCTTTTTATTTGTTAAAGGAAAGTAACAATTAAATCGCACCTTGTAATATTTAAACAGGGCTGTGTCGTAACTCAGCAATTTTAAATTATACATTTTTAAAATTGCTCCGGTATAACAGATTCCAATGATAATAATAATTTTTATAGAACTTAATAATGGTGGTGGGAAAATGTAAAACATAGTTTACATGTTGGCAATAATTTTAAAGAATCTTATTTTAAAAAATACATTAAAATATAACGATGCTTATAGGCCTATCGTTTTGTTTCCGTTTCTAAAATACGTTTTTGAAATCTTTGTTTTAAAGGGAAGATTATAATAATACAAAATATCTTCACAACTGAAATTGATATATCCGTTGGAAATGTTTAAATAGTCTGATGTCTGTTTACATTTTGTTTTATGTTTAAATAAAATATTAGGTTTCGCTTCGAATATAAGGTAGTTAACGTTTTATAGAGTTGTTTACAAGGTACTTAAGTCGACAAGGATGGTAAAAGGAGTTTAAATAGTTGTCTTTGGTGACAGAACGATTATCACTAGAAATGAATTCTGTAATGATGAATAAAACTTCCCGGGAGGAAAAGACCTCAGAAGACCGGCGTTGCGTGGTTATGTTATACTTCTGAATTTCGTCTGGTGAATGAGTTAGTTTAATAAAGTACAACGCAACGTGGCAACGCATCTTCAACCCTACGGATGTTGCAAATATAAATGGGCAGTAATGGGCAGTTGTTACTTAACATCAGTCGTTTGCCACATCCTCACATAAAAAAGACGTTTGTTAAGGATGCAATGAGGATACGTTCTATTTGCATCCTAAAATAAAATTAAGTAAATAAAGAGTTTTCTATTGTAATCGAGTATTAAAGTTCTTATTTTTTTATTTAATTTTAATGAGTTCGTGGTAAAAAAATAATTAAGAAAGAAAATCCAGTTCTGAATTCCCCTTAACTTAAAGAAGGTAGAGCATAGAGTTCACTAAAATGGCCTTCAACACTATTAAACTTATTGGTCAAGAAGGAATGTGAACATGCACATACAGCATTCTGAAATAAATTTAAAAAGGGAACAAAATAGTATCATTTCGTTCCCTTTTTAAAAACACAATATCCTTAAAAACAAGTTTGAGAAATATAATTCTCGTGAACACTGCTTTATTTCGCGGGTGTGCTTAATTATATAGTAAACTCGTCAAAACAACGTCAGAACCATACGGTATAAGACGGCATTAGGAAGCACATGAAACCACAATATGTCTTTTTTGAAGAGATATTTTTATAAAAACAACTCTACCGAAACGTCTCCCGCAAAAGGGGTACGTATATTATTAAATAATAAAATATATGGAATATGATAATGTATAATTTACATATAATCTTTCCACAAACATATTTTTATCATAGAAAACTTAGGGAAGTTATATAAGTCGCAGTAGTAATTCGTAATACTTATTTATACTGATACAAATTTTGCTCTGCAATTTAGTATGTATTTTGGTAATAACTTCGTACTGAAAAACAAATTTATTTAAGAGATTTTAATCCAACTCATTTTATTTAGATAGATAATTCTTAAAAGTACTAAAAAAGGACACTAAACTATTACAGAAAATAAACTAATAATAGGCCTATTATCAACACCGTAAACTAAAGTAATATAATATTTATTTATAGGAATTGAAATTTGAAGAGAGAGAGTACGACGAGATTTACGGCACGGCAAAACTAGTTTGCAAAATGACAGGCCTGCGTTTGGCCTGTAACGACACACCTTCAGTGACGTAAAGAATTTTCTTAATTATAAGTCAAACCACGTTTTCAACAAAATTTCCAAAATAGGAAGTACTCTTTCGGTTGTATTCTTTTTCTTCGTTCCCTCAGAACTCCTTATTTTATTAACCGATTTCAATAATTCATTTTGTATTGGGTTTGGTTTATCTCCCATGTGATCCCAAATTATTATAAATAAAAGCTTTAAGACTCTGGAGATAGATCTGCGAAATGGAATGGGAGTTGAAGTTTGTTGTGTTTTTTGTTAAAAAAAATTTGAAGGGGGGTGGGAACGAGGAATATTGTAAAGTGTAAAGTTGTATTGTAAAGAAATAAATAAATAAATAAGTAATAATAATAAATAAATAAGTTTTTTCGCGATCTGAAACTGCCTTTAATAAGACTACAAAAAAGCTATTTCATCTGTATGTCATTATGTGGAGAAGGTATTCTTACATTATTTCAAATATCAACATACATTTAACATTATGACATGGGATTAATGCAAAACGTCACACAGGCTATTTTAGCTGGTTGCAATGCCGAAAGTTCGCGTCTGCACACTAGTATTAAATAAATTTAACAGGAAGGGCCCAATAATAATAATATTGGTTTAAATTTAAATAGTCCTAGTTTACATTTTGATCATGCATATGTTGTAATAAAATAAAAAATACAATAAAGTAAAACACTAATCAAAATTGTAAATCGAATATTATTAAGTTTTAGGTGTAAAGTAATATACGTCTTTATTGGTTGATGCACGTACTAAATTGTAGCGCAATGGCAGATTTCTTTATGTTCTTTTATGTCCCCCTTTAACGGCATCCTGAACAAGTTCGTCTTTCCCTTTGGGAATCGTGCCTCCCCAACAGGGCGAACGTTTTAGACCTTAGAAACGGCCAACCTAACCACCAGTACAAGAGGAGTATTCATATATTTTGTCCTGATTGTACATGCTATGTATACCAAGCATACTGAAAAACAGCTGCTATGAGAATACGGGTATTGGATAAAGATTGGACTACCGCTACCTTAATCTACAAGTCAAATAAAAAATGGCAAATACTTTACACTCACCTTGTAAATAGCGCTATTACCTGCACGGTCGAACCGACAGATTCTGAGGCTCTATGCCAAAACGGAGCTGCATGCCATCATATTTATAACATTAAAGTTATAACATTAAGTGGTATTGGCTCCTTAGGACACTCAACTGTTACAACAGAAGCCGCTGCTATGTATACCGTCGTGAAATTTGTTTTGCAGGCGAGCTTGGAACGCTTTGTACTGGTTCGAGTTTCTCAACCTGTTCGTTTCGATGCTGCTCGAGCTTACGAGCGTTATACAGACCACCGCCGAGGGGTCGTTCATTGACCTCTTCACTATGGTGCCCTGCGTTGGATACCTAACACTAGGTCTGTTTTCTTTTATGGATGATGAGACCGTACTGAGTTATATGATGTTAATGCCAATCTTTTAAAGATTCCCGGTCTACTCGCTCACACTTCTACGGAGCCTCATGAAAAAGGTGGTCCATTTTTCTAGCAGAAGTTGCAGGGTTGCTCTGGCCAATTTTTTTTTATTAATTTAAAAAATATAAATCAAATAACAACGGTTCGTCGAATCTGTAACATCGCGAAATGTAGCAGACAGGGATGAAGTTATTCAAGCTACTTTTTTGCTTAGTGTGTCAATTCTACTTAACTTCTTGTTAATTCTAAGTTATGATCTGACCGAACCCTGTAGTCCCTAGCTAAGTTAATTCCTGTCTTTCGAAGATAATGAAAAAGCTTTTGTCAGGGATTAGTTGATCCCTGGGGTTGTTGGGTATTTGAACCATGACAGTTGATAATTCAACTGACATATATAACTATATATGGCACTGCCGTGTAAAGGGCTTTAAACTAATATCGCCAACGGAATTACGTAGAAGCACTACCGTTTCTAAAACGTTGATAATCAAATCGCTCGATTAATCTGGAAATAGAGCAATGGTATTGACTTTAACGCAGTTAATCGGTACAAAAAATATATAGGTGCCTACTATGTAACATAATTTTACTTGTCGATTTTGTAAAATTTAACAAAGCCAAAGAATATATTAATTTTGAAGAACTCATACATCAAGAGGCAATTTTACACTAAACTCTGATTTTGCATTCCGTTTCATAATTTTCAAGGCATGGTTAAATCGTTCAAAATTACTTACAACCGACCTGTGTATGAGAATTTAATATCAGAATTACGTGATATGTGGCCACGGAACACGGTGACCGAAGAAGAATACAATATCATGTATGCTTCATGCAAACAAGTAAAGTACGTCTTAAAAGGTAAGATTTAATTTGCCAATGACGTCATGATTGTGTTCTTATTTCACAAATGATAAATAATTACGGTACAAACGGATTTCCGCTAAAATAACTTTCTAAATTGAAACTCTAAATGTCCACCCGATTGCTAAATTCGCACGTTATTTTATTTTGTCACCGAACGCTTGAATAATAATTTGAAAATGGAATGAATGAATGAATGAGACATAGCTCAGAGGATTAGCAAGCTGAAGTGGCGATGGGCCGGTCATATAGCTCGTAGAACCGATAACTGTTGGGGAAGAAAGGTTCTCGAATGGCAGCCTCGTACTGGCCGTCGCAGTGTAGGACGACCCCCCACTAGATGGAGTGACGACCTATGCAAATGTGCGGGAAGTCGATGGATGCAGGTGGCTCAGGATCGTACTGCGTTTCAGTCTATGGGAGAGGTCTATGTTCAGCAGTGGACTCAAACAGGCTGAAATGATGATGATGATGATGATGAATGAATGAATATACTTTATTGCACACCAAAAATAAAACAAACAAAAATTTAAACTTAATGTAGAAGTAATGGGTACAATGGGCGGCCTTATTACTAAGAGTAATTTCTTCCAGGCAACCTTTGGATGGATTGAAAAAGAAATAATTTAGGAATAAAGGTATGGAAGTACAAGTAGTGAAGGTAGTAAGTATAAATGGAAGTTCGATGAAGCAGTTACTAATCAACTGACTTCGGTGGCAGGGTCGTAGGTTTGATTGCCACACGGGACAACTATTTTGTGTGACTCACAGATTATAATATCTCGACACCCATCCAATTCTACTGTGAGGATATAGAGCGCTTAGCTCAGTTGGCAAAAGCGTCAGTTAAAATTCAATTTCAAAACCCTCAATTAATACACAAAACATTATCATAGTACATCTAAAGAGTTTTCCCATTTCAGGTTATTTCTATTGCAATATAGTGCTAGTGTTGTTCTTCGTAGTACCGCCATATATCGTCATATTTAGATGCATGTTGGGGGAGGATATTCCACTAAAACTGGCCTTCTCGTACTGGTTCCCATTCGACCCTTACCAACACGGGCGGTTCGAAGCTATAATTGTTCTGCAAACCTTGCATTGTAAGTACAATCTTTTTTATTTGTTTTTAAATAGTTTTACTGGCGAATAGATGGGAATGTGTGTTCTTAATAGATTTATAACTAAGTACAGGTAAACAATAACGAATATAATATGCATCCATCCTTTGATCATGAGTTTCTCGAAAACTCGATATCGAGCGCCAAAAATATTAAGTGGTTTCCAAACGACTTTCTAACTGTTCCGAAAATTTTATGTTAACTCATACAACCATTCAAAATTTCGATCCGACGTTTAATCTGTATTAATGGCATAATACCCGTAATAATAATACGCCAAGGTTAATGCTAGACGCCCCGTGCGCAAGGGGCGACCTCAATTCCGTTGTATCTGTGAAGGCCCCTAAGGCCAACAGTGGCTCATCCCGCAATAAAAAAAAGCATAATCCATGTATTAGTTAACGAACAACTACTAACTTTATTCCAGGTTATCTTAGCGTGTGCCTGATGTTGATAGCCGATCTCTTATTCTGCATTTACCTAAATCAGATAACCACTCAACTCGACCTGCTTGCTTTCAGAATAAAGAAATTGTTCTATGTACCAATAGACGATCAACTCATCGAAACGTATCCTCTAGGTAAGGTTGCAGTTAGAGCTATCGTATAAGAGAAAAGCCTTTATTATTATTCTGTTTGCAACTATCCAAATTCCTTTCAATCACACAAACTTCTTGCATATGAATTGAACATTTCGACGTGTTCCAAACAGTTTCGGTCTAAACTTATATTGTCTTCCTGTTCATTATTTAATCCACAAACGTCGTAACATAATCCATTTAATACAGAGGGACCATGGAAAAGGAAATGGAACCGAGTCGTCCGCAGAAATACGTCGTTTTCACAGAATAGCGGGGAAAAGTAGGAGTACGTTTGTTTTTTTTAATTCAAAACATTAAATTCGTATTTGTACTTATGAATTAAGTCCGATAAATGGTTACCGAGGCCATAAGTACCTCCTAAAGGTGGAACTCCTAGTCCATATTCAGCATCCAGCAAGCATTGGTTTACGCTATACATTACGTTCGAATGAACCTAATGTATGAATATACATTCATGTACACGCCATACATACATTCAGGACTGAAAGATAGTCTATGTCTATAGACATCCTCTATTTTTTATGTACATAACGTTGCCCTTACTCAAATGTAGCATCCTTACAATACAGAATAACATTATCCCGTGTTTTAAGGATGTTTTACATACATTTATTTGTACATATATGTGTTTACATATATTTCACGTTGAAAAAGACCCATATCCGAAATAATTATTTGTGGGTTGCACAAATAGTTCCGTCGAAGCCAATACCTTGGCAACAACCGTACTTGCTATTGATATATTAATAAAAAGAATAACGTAAGCATTGTCACAAATAAACGAAATCATAGTTATGATTGTATTCAATAAATATTCTAAACTGGACTATATTGTTTATTACTAATTTCGGTTACACTAATTTAAGACATACTATAATCTAAAATGTTATATTTATTTGCAATGTATATGTTTAGCCAAATATACTACTGAACAAATCAAAGAACATTTGGAAGCTACAGTTGGTAATAAATGGGGAATAACATACCAGAACCAATTAGTGGAAATCGTTAAAAGACATCGTGATCTTATTAGGTACGTACTTCGAATATATCTTTTCGCTATAATAATACGTATATAATATAATTTCATTTTATTGTTATTTATAAATTACATACAGAAGATTGACATACAAATAGGTTTAACTTAGTCATAAAGTTGTGACAATGTAAGTATTTATATAAGTTACAGTTAAACATAATACTATAAAACAGACTTCGTTTCTAGGGACCATAAACTTACTGAACTAAAAACACAACTTATATCTTTGAGAGAAAAATAAGAAATTTATGTAAAATAAGAACATTTACGAAACTAATTAGCGGAATTCTTTCACTTGCTTTAATTTTTTTATGTAAAAAATAAAGCTCTTGATTGTGTTTGATAAACATACCGAATTCACAGGGCTCGGTGCCCTGCGATATAAAAATATTTTAGTTGTTGTTTCCAAATAAATAGAAAACATTGTGCTTTCGTGTAGAGTAGGGCAGCGCTTTAAACTTTCTGAGTAAGAACACGGACGAATCAAACTGAAAAATATCTTGTTTTTCCATATAATACAGAAATAGACTAAAGAATATCTATAACAAAATTTTCAACCCGGTCACAAAAAACAAGTGGAAACACCTCACTAATAAAAGTTAAGTAAAGTAATAAGTATCAATATAAGTATGTATTGTTGATACTATAATACAATAACACTATGTAAAAGACATATAATAGTTTGAATTACCTTTCTAAACAGTGAAGAAAAGCTATTTTTATTAGAACATAAATAAGTTGTGAAAAGGTAGCTTAGTTATTATATATAAATATTTTTATGTATCAATCATATCGATTTTACAATTTGAAACAGGTTGTCTACCGACGTGGAGGGCGAATTCACATTTGCACTTCTCATAAATTTTATAAACAGCTCCGTTATTATCTGCTTTTGCGGATTCTGCTGTGTGGTGAGTTACCGTCAAACCGAATAATTACCTATTCTTTTAAATTTATCCCTTGACAATTAATGAAAAATTCTCCATTTTACCAAGCGTGTGGTCAACTTTATGAATTGACGATTAATTTCCTTTTCTTTTTTCTTCCATACTATTTTTTAGAGTTATTATATATACTATGCTACAATAATTAGAACACTAAAATACATTGAAATACAGAGATTGTCCTGAAATGATATGTTTTGTTATTTAAGTTCGTGGAGAAATGGAATGAAATCAACTACAAATTGTTTCTATCGACTGCCATTGTACAAATTTGGTTGCTTTGCTGGTACGGACAGAAGCTTCTGGATTCTGTAAGTATTTGCGTAGTTTCATTTAGAAAAAACCTAGTTAACCCCTTCCAATTCATTGTTATACTAGCTGCTGCCCGCGACTACGTCTGCTCAGAATGGGCTGAAGGCGTAACATTCAGAAAGAAAGACAGATATACATAAAAATGTATATAAATTATAGCCTATGTCTTATTCTGATATATGAGCTATATTATTGTAAAGTTGCATTATAATGCATTCTGTAGTATTTGCGTGAAAGAGTAACAAACATCCATCCATACATACAAACTTTCCCCTTTATAATATTAGTAAGGATAAGAAATGGATATAATTATATATAGAGGTGTGTATTTTAAACGATAGTGGTAAAAGTCTGCTGTATAATAAAAAGTCGTTACATATAATATGTTAAATATTTTATAATTAGTGTAGCGAAGTTTAAAAGGTGTAAGCGTACAAACAGCGGGAGCAACTTTGTTTTATACTATAATGATGATTTTATACTAAAGATGTCATAAATCAGCATTATCTACGTCAGTTGTGTTGTGTCTCATCAACCTCATTCTTCCTTTCAATCTTCCACCGCACGGATAAATGGTCAGCAGATAATCCTTATGATATTAATAAAGCCAAGGGCAATACGCAAATTGATCTTTGACACGGATTAATTACTGGCTGTCTTCTTCCCTTCCAATTATGATGTGTCCGCAAGTCGAAAGAAAATAGCCTTTTGCTTTATTGATTACGATAAAAGCAACTTTTAGGAAATAAAGTTTTTTTTTATAATTTTTATGTTTATTTTCAGAGCCAAGGAATTTTCGATGCAGTTTATAACAGCGGCTGGTACAACGTACCTCATAACATAAAAAGCTCTTTAATAATAATATTTTATCGGTAAGGAATACAAATAAGTATAAATTGGCATATCATGACTTTGACAACATAGTTACATACAACAAATGCAAATATATTATTGCACCTGCGTAAAGATCTCACCACACCATGCATAGGTTGACTGGCAGAGAATGCTGAAAGGCATTAAGTTCGCCTATTGTATTCCGAATTAAAGGAAATGCAACAAAGACTATATAATAAATAAATATATTAGGGTTTTGTTTAAAGATTACTTTTATTTGTGTTTCAGAGCCCAAAAAGAGGTTTTCGTAACTACATACGGCTTTTCAATCATTTCTATGCGGAGCTATAGTACGGTAACTTTATATCATTATTTGTCAAAACTAAAAGTAAAGTAAAATTTGGTAAATTATGTATTTTGGAAATAAAAAATATAAAAATAAAGAAAATGATCTGGTATAGAAAAAAAAGTAAAAGAAATAAGTGTGTAAACGATCGTGATACGAACCACGGCCGTCTGTTTTGGGGCCGCCCGATTACCGACCGAGCTATCACAACATTTTATTTTGCGGCGAAATTTACTTTCATATTCGAATGATATTTTTCATCCCTTGAAAACAGGGATAAAAGGACATTTTCTAAAAATGAAACCTAGCTAGATCGATTTTTTATGATGAAAATCCCTGGAGCCGTTTCCGAGATTCCGATTACATATATATATATATATACAATAATTGCTCGTTTAAAGGATAAGATATAGCCTTTATGTGTCCCACTGCTGGGAAAATGCCTCCTCTTTATAGAAGGTATGATGGCATCACCGGACCCCAATACGGATTGGCAGACTTCAAACATCTTGAAAATACGTTTTTATCCTCGATATTTTCCTTCGCCACCGAGCATGTGCTAAGTCAGCACTTAAAATTGCAATTAACAATTTTATTGGTACCGGGAATTGAACTTAGGTTGCTCGAGTATATTGGATTGAAAGCGAGCGCCCGGACACTGAGCTATGACGGGTTGTTTTCTAATGCAAATGCAGGACAATGGAAACCTTATTTCAGTTTCTATACTAATATTGTTGGCGTTGTCGGCTATAAAGCTCTACATTTAATAAATTATGATATTCAGCTTCTATATAATAAATAAAATTAACATATAAAACCCGTGACATCATTCCAGTCACTCAGTAATGGATTAAACCATGCGGTATTATTAATATAGAAAAGATGAATGCATCTTTAACATTTCTGTTTCAGATTCTGAAAACATCATGGTCGTATCTGATGTTACTTGTTAATGTTTTTAAACAGTAAATGTGCATCATTTAAACTTACAATCACATAAACATGTAAATGAGCAAATTTATTCAAATTACTTTTATTTATGAAATTCAGTAGGGGACAATTTGCAACACTTCTTAAAGTGCAAATACAATCTTGGCTATTCTTGAAACACAAAGCTTACTTTTCACCAAAATCGTAGTCGCTAAATCGCGTGCTTATTTGGAATTTGTTATGACTTAAAAAAAAACTGTGGGTGTAATTTTCAGTTTTAATATTGAATTCTATTATAAAAATTAATCGCAAATAAAATTATTGCAAGTTAAGAGTGACACTTGTTTTATTTTTGTTAAAATTATGAAATAAGGACCACTGAATTATCGGCTGGGAAAAGCTAACCTAACCTAAACTATTTCCCTTTTTTTAATATTTCTACTCACTACAAAAATTGAGACATATCTTTACGTTGCTTTTTCGTTAAAAAAAAAAGATAAATGAAGTGTAAGTTTTGTGAATCTTGACTATCGTTGTGCATATAGTTGATACATAATCTGTGGTTTAACAGGATTGCCCATAGGGTTAATCGGTGTAAATGCACCGGTCAGCTCATGGCAGCTGGTTTGTTTGGGTCGAACATGGGCGTTTAAATACAAATATGTAACAAATATAAATGTGCCAGGACATATTTTACATAACGTTATCTAGTCCCAAACTAAGCAATGGTTGTATATACTTATATAAATAAACACACCTTTATATATAAATAAACATACCTTTTCCTTTTTGTATACAAGTACATAGTATAAATAAAAACAGTACGTTGATCACACAATCTCGAACTCACAACCTCTGGCGTAAGAGACTAAAAACTTGGCGTTTTACTCGCCTTTTTTTACAAATTGGAAAACGGTGTAGCATCAATGTTATTGATCTCACGACGGTAAGCTATTATTGTTTCAATATAAATAAGAATAAAGGAAGTTGATACATGCCAGGGTTTTTGAGTCTACTTAGGTAATACTTTCCGGAAAAAAAACATAATTTATACAATTTCATACCCGATATAACAATGTCATACACAAGGTTTCTCACTTTTGCGCAATGATGGCATGAAATCAATAGTAATAATTATTACTTACTGGCGACATGTAGTAAATTCTTACAAATATTATAAAGGCGAAAGTTTGTATATATGGATGGATGTTTCTTACTATTTCACGCAAATACTGCTGAATGGATTTTAATGAAACTTTACAATAATATAGCTTATACATCAGAATGAGACATAGTGTATATACCTACATATTTTATATACAGCGTGTCGTTACCATCGCGACAATAAATGAACACACGTCTAACGCTACTTGCCAATAATCATAAAAAAATATTCACGTTAAACAAAATCTATACTTAAGAAAATATATTTTTAAACAAACTAATTAAGTAAAAAGGAAACAAAATTTGTAACATCCTATACAACTCGCGCCACAGTGTCGTATTACAAGCCTCTCCTTCTAACAGTATGTTTTGTCTCTTTTAAATTCATTCAACCCATTCATATGCTTTGTGACCTTGACAAATGAACTTTACGTTACGCTTTTATAAGTAAGGATGTTCTAAAATTCTTTGTTTTGGAAAATTTAATAACTCTGTAAATATTGATGTTTCAAGAATTTAAATGTTTAATACAACTTTAAAAAGTTATGCCCTATATGTGTGTTCATTTATTGTCCCGATGGTAACGACACGCTGTATATCTGTCCTTCTGTCTGAATGTTACGCCTTCAGCCTATTTCACGCGACGTAGCGCGGGCAACAGTAGTTAATCATAAATTTAAAACTTTAGCATCATGTAATGCATGATGCTAAAGTTTCTAATTCAGAGAAACTTGATTTAAAAAGCTACCTTACTGCAACCAGTAAATATATAGCTATTAAAGTGTTTTCGTGCCTTCACTTTACTGAATTAATCAATAACTTCATTGAAATCAATTTCTTTTGAAACAGACAAGGCTAGTGGAAATAAAAAGTACCTATTACTTTATTTTTTCTAATTGATTTTTTGCCAATCTACTATTTGCCGTATTTTATTTTCCTCATCCATATTCATATTTTATGTATGTTAATCGAAGTCCAATTTAAATTTCAATTGCGAAGTTTTAATTAAATAAACAAACGCTTATACGAATGTGAAGTGAAAAGTTGAAGAAAAATACTTGTAAAATTAGATCAACTTTTAAAGCTAGGGGCCTCATTTAGCTTTTCCTCCCCAGGACTCAGAAGGGCTTAGTCCGCCACTGGTTACCAGGCGGAGAAATTAACTAATCTGCTGTCAAATGGCTTGTCAAATGTCATTTGAGATGCCAAAACAATGGTTAAACTCTTTGAATTAATCATTCTGATCAATTCAAAGAGTTTAACCTAACGAAAGTGAAGAAGACTACAATTATCGGCTATCTTTAATCCACAACCGATTAGCTAATGAGAATCGAGAATACTGAGATAATCTCCTGTTTTAATACATTTTCGTTTATTCATCGAAACTGACGAGCAACGATCACTACTATTGAGCGTCCTACGTGCTCGTTCCAGTCAGATGTTGCTTAATGAAACGCCAGAAGCTAGAGTCGAAAGATTCAATTTGTTTTAAGAAATGACAAAAAATACAAGAGCTATATTATTAATAACAAGTGCTGAACAATTTCGGGTGATTATCAAAATTTTGCAACCTTTCATGAGACAATTAAATTACTCAACAGACCCATGATGAAAGAGCTTTAGCAGAAATGGTAAAATTGCATGCACTTATTATATCTTCCTTGGTGTATTCTCAAAGTTAATCAGCTGACTGAAACTTAACGTCTATATCATCCTATTCAATCCATCGTATCCATCAAGATTCGCGATATATGACTGCGTTATGGAGTTCAGAAAGTTAAACATGAAAACAACTTGGCCAAACTATGGTAAATTTTTATGGGACCAAATGGCAACTATTCTGCATCAAACTAAAGAAGAATCTCGTAAATCGGATCATAAATCTCAACGTAATCGGTGAAAACGAATCGAAAAAAAATATACCAATCGAATTGAGAAACTCGTCCTTTTGAAGTAGGTTAAAATATTATATTAATTTAATTAAATATTGAAGGTACTTACATAAAAAATATATAAAAACATTATGTTTAACAATTTTAATTAGCGGTCCACCTAGGTCCTGGACACAGCCCAGGGGGGGGGGGTCATGACCCCCATGCCCCCCCCCCCCCTGGATCCGCCCTTGGCTCCCGCCCAGAGATGAGAACAGTAATCCACGTGGGGCCGAATTTGCTCCTAATAGAGGTTTAGGCGTTGAGCCGCCGTGTAGTACTGACGTTGTCCTGTACACACGTTTTATATTCTAAAATTTAATCTTTTTTTGAATAACTTTGTCAATTTAAACCATTCTCGAATTGACCTAAAGCAACACAAAAAAAAATTACTAAAATCGGTCCAGCCGTTTAGCTGGAGTTTAGTAACATACACACGTACAGAAGAATATATATGTATAGATTTTATCTTTAGGTCCTAAAAACTACGTCGTGCAAAAAAAAAGGTATGACGTCTAATAAATATTAAACACTCGGACTCTGTGCCGGATTGAAATTTGAATCAATATCGTTTTTGATACAATTTTCGACATTAAATATTTTGTATCGTCGATATATAATATTTGATAAGTCGATATATAAAATCAAAAATAACGACATATCGATATTTTTTCAACATCCCTAGCTTTCTTTCTTTACGGATGTGACATTGAGAGAACAAAATCGATTAATTAAAAATCGATTATTTTCTATTATTCTAAAAAACCTGCAATAAAACTTAATATAAGATAAGTATAGTGTTCACAGTTTACCAGAATCAAAATCATAATGAGTAGTATAAAAAATAACCTTAACCACAACATTCTGATTTCATTACAAAAATACATTATGAACGCCACCGTATTAGAAATTCCTGCTTTACTGTGTAAATACAATAACCTATTAACGAGCACTAAAACTGTTCGCTGAACGCATCAATAGGGTGCCTACTCTTAACGTTTGTTTACAAATAATGATAGAATTGATATTTTTCTGGTTATTTCTTGTCAAAATAAAATATTTTTTTTTTTATTTTTACTTTTATATTTTTTTTTTTAATTATGGAATTCTCAATTAACATAATGTCAAAGTATGTACTTAGTCTAAAAAACACCCTGTAAACATAGATGGCTGTTAACAAAAATCTTTAAAAAGTTAAATTGATATAATCGATTTATTAAAAATCGATTATTATTATTGAAAAATATTTTTTAATCGATTATAAGAATAAAATTAATCGATTAATATGAAAATCGTTTATTTTTTCACATCCCTACTCTGATCTGACATTTGCGTCACATTGTGTTGCGTTTGGTTTTGCTCTATTCTCATTATCAAAATTTGTGTTTTTAACAATATGTCGAACAAAAAAAACAAAAACGCAGAAATAAACGACAGTGAAAGTGAAGACGAAAATGATTCGGTAGATGACAGAGACTCGGATGTAGATTCTGACGGAAACTACGTTGGAGACAAGGTAAGCTACATAACCTATACATAACACATGGTGTAAATTAAAATAGCCATTTAGATACTATACTATTTATGTGTAAATCACATTTATAACTAGTTGAAGTTGTTATCATTATTTTGCACGTACAACTTCTTCACATTCACATCTCCTTTGTCATATCGTGAATCATAACAAGTCCTACCGGTAAAACGTAAACAACTACAATGGCTGCATTTATTTCTTCGAAAACCGTCATCACAAAGAACCATAACTTGCTGTATCGATTATTATTAGGTCATATTTCAGTAGAATTATTGATTATTGTTGCTTATGTCATTACTTAGATATACAGCATCATTTTTGTTTAGTCTATTTGACGTGGTCTATTTATTAACTTTTCCTTTTGATAAGTTCTTTAGGATTTGTATTAATGAAACCAAATGAAATTATAATAGGCAAAAGAAAATTATATGATGAATGAATAAAAAATTATTAAGAATATTTGCCTACCATTATATGGGTGTATAACATGATCTTTTATTCATATAACTTTTCTGTATCAACTCTATTATGTTTTTTAAGCTTTTGCTTAAACAGAAAAATTAATAAAGGTAAACAGTAGTATTCATATGTATTTTTGTGTTGTTTACTGTTGATACCTCACATATCAAAGATTTAGGTCCTAAAGTAAATGCTGCAGCTGGTAACAAGGTGGCTGGTTCTTTACAGTATAACTATTCAGTGGGTAAATGCAGCTATTAGCTGTTCTTGGCACCTTTCCATGTGCCAAGTCCACATACAACAGTTAACATGTTATTTTTATAGGAATTATACTGAAAAAAAATTTTGTATAATAAACTCACAATAATGACTAGTTATAAAATAAGTAATTGAGAATCTGAAATTATTCTACCTCATTTGTCACCACTTCACTTAAAAATATTCACATGCTTGTTTTACTTATCACACAAAGATTTATTGTTTTTTGTAAAGAGTTACATGATGTTAAGAGTTAAATGACATAAAGAGTTTGACCCGAATGGTGTAGTGGGTAGTGTACCTGCCTCCTGCGCCAGAGGGTGTGGGTGCGATACCCACTACTGGAAAAATATTATGCGATGAACATATTGTTTTTCATTTCATTTTGTGTCTGGGTGTTTATATATTTATAATATATGTATATTTATTCACCTAAGAAAAGTATGTTTATCAGTTATCTAGTACCCATAATACAAGCATTGCTTATTTTGGGACTAGAGAATGTTGTGTAAAAATGTGTCCTAAAATATTTAAAAAAATCAATAATATAATTTTTTTAAAGGAGTTGCAAGCAGACTTTGAAGGTAGAAATCCAGAAGATTGTGACTATCATGGAATAAAGCAGCTTTTGCGACAGCTATTTCTTAAATCCAATGTAGACTTGGGGGCACTAGCACAAATAATTATTGGTAACTTTATTTAAATTAATAATTCTTCATTGAATTTACATTACTCTCCCAAATGTTGGTTGCAAAAATGGGAAATGATGTTAGAGTAATAAAATGCATATTCAAGCAAAGGCAATAAAGAGAATAAGATGACCTTACATATATTAATGCCATTGAAAAAATAAATGTTTATTTCAAATTAATAATTATTAATAAAAGTTAATGCATTTATATACAGGTATTTTGGTCTATTCATAATGTTTCCACAACTATCACTGTTCTTTACAGCACAGAACTATGTGGGCAGTGTAGTAAAGCAGTGTCTTGATGATGGAGTAGAGGATGACGACGAAGATGACGATGGAAGTGATGGTGTGTTTGGAATAACAACTGTAATAAACATTACAAAAAAGAAAGTGAGTCAACTTCTAATTTAACTATTTGTTTTGCATGTTGTTCCCGTTCTTTGAAGTGTTTTATGTACATCATTACTATTATAGTTAATTTTAGTATTGTCTAATATTTCTATATTAAGTAATCTTCCTTTCACTGAAAATAAGCAATTTTAATATGTCAGTGAAAATTTAAGAAAAAATAGTGACCACTGTTTATTTTATGTTGTATATTCTATTGAAGAATTAATTTCAATGTTCCACATATTAATTTTGTTCCAGGATGAAGCCTGTATACAGCAAATTAGGACATTGCTGACTACCCTTGCAGAAGAGAATGCTAATGACAAGACTAAAGCTTTAGTTAACAAAATCCTATCTGATGAGTCTCGCCATGTAGGGCTGGTAATAAATGAAAGGTAAGTGCTATCAACACAAATTCAATATTGTCAGTGCAGTGACTAACGCTCAGTTTCTGAAACACTGATCATTGTAGAAGTAAACTAATCAGCTGTCAAATGGATTTTCAAATATTATTTGAATTGCCAATAGGATTACTAAACTCTTTGTATTGATCATTCTGTCACATACTTTGAAATTGTAACCATCTCCAGTTATGAACATGTACAATGCTAGAGAATTTACCCACCATTGAGGCAAAATAGTTCTTTTTGATGTTTCCTTAAATAAATGAAATACCAAATTGAAAACTTTTTTTCCACAACCTGCGAACAGTCATATAAACTATAATCAGGTGAGTTGTAAGTGGTAATATTATAAACTTAACAAATTTTATATATTATATATAATATTTCAGAATTCTTAACATTCCGGCAGCTATCAGTGTGCCATTGTTTGCATCATTACAATCGGAACTGGAGAAGGCAGTGAAAAAAAATATGCCCTATACATTCCATTACTTAATATGGATTTGCAAAACATACAACACAGGAGGTAACTAACATTTTACTAAAATATCTTTGTAATTGGCGTTAACATATTTTTCTTCTATGATGAGAAATATCAAAATAAGTAATAAAAAACACTACATTAATAAAAATTATTAAGGCCTTAAACAAAGTAAGCTGTTTTGTTTGGAAACAATAATAATAAATATAAAGGGTCAATTATTGAATTCAAGGCTTATATCTTTGTCATATAAGCCCATACCCACAACTTTGGCTGGGGTCATTACATTAAGGTCATTTTGTCCTAACTGTACATTACTATAAACAGTAATTTATTAATTAAGCAATCCTTAATTCAGATCAAGGTTCGGAAATACTTTTCGCGAATCAAGAAGAACGACCGTTATTAGATGAAGCGCTAGCCAGTTTCGAAGTAGATGTGACTGAACAAGCCGACTTGTCACAATGGGACTATGAAGGAGGAGCCCTTACTCCATGTAGAAAGGTAATTTGAAATAAATCTTTGTAATATGAAATTCCCAGTTAAAGTTGAATGTCAATTTAAAAGAAATAATTTAATAGTAATACTAAAGTATTACACTTGTGTAAAATCAACATTTTTGTCAAGGGCTTTGATTATAGGTATTATAACTTGATTAATATTAGGATTTTTTAACATGAGCTATGTTTGGTCTGAACCTAATTATATGTTTAATTAACCCCTTCATTTAATTAATATCTGCAGCACTAAATCCAATTAACTGGAATAAATTCGACAAGAAACATCAATTCCTATTACAATTTCATTATTATTTCTAGGTTATAAAAAAGTACCATATTGCAAGCTAGGTAAAAAATTAAAATGTATTGCTTAAAAGATATGCAGTTTGTACTTTGTTTTACTAGATATTAGAAGTACATAGTGAAAGTGAATATTGTTTTGTTTCAGATTCTCATTTTCGATGGAAGTAAATTCAATAATCTAGTAAGACTCCTTAAAGAAGAGGTGGAGAATGTTTAATCCTTGCTTAATTGACTGTATGCCATGTATGTTACTATATACAACTGTATTTATATTTTATTTTTAACTAATATAAGCTGAGCTTCAATTATTGTTTATTTTAATGAAAATACCCTTGTTAATTTTGGTATTACGATCAAAAACAACAACAGTGTCACTATTAATTTAATTTCTGTAGATGTATGAACCAAGATGATAGCCAATAAACTTTTTTATGTGAAAAGTTGCCAAACGAGGAAACAGTTCACCTGATGTTAAGTGAATACCGCCGCCCATGGACATCCCTACACCCGGTTGCAGATGCGTTAACAACCTTTTGAAAATTGGGCTCCGGCTACCTCATTCACCAGACGAAACGCGAAAGTATTATACTTCCACTTTACACAGGTCTTCCGTGAGGTCTTGGTACTTACCCGGACAAGCCTGCCCATTCGTGCAACAGTCGAGGCTGCTGCGTGGCCTTACATCCGTAAATACTTTGATAGTAGTCATTAAGAAATCATATCAAAAGTCAATAGAACTTTATTAACTTAATACATTGGAGATTTCAAATATATTGTCACTTAAGATCTAACATTAAAAAAAGCATTTTACATATTTTTGTAAATAGCCAAGGCGTCCCTCATCATATAGTCCTTCAGCACACACAGTGCTTTTACAATCTTTGTGTTCTGATCCATCTTCTGTATATCTGCCTCCGTGAGGTTCTTGTCCAATGCCAAGTATCCACTGACTGCCTCCTCAGACATCCATTGGGACAACTTGGGGATGTTGAAATGACTTGGATCTGGATTGGAAGGCATAGGTGTGAGCGATTTCTCCCACGGCGTGATGTACTTCTGTTCAGAGTGCAGCCCTTCGATGTATCTGTTGAAACAAAGGTTCTTTGAAATTTTTGTTTCTTTAACTAACCTTACTTGAATATAATAGTATAATTAGAGCCGTGATAGCTCAGTATCCGGGCGCGCAATTCAATATACTCGAGCAACTTGAGTTCGATCATTGCCGGCACCAATGAAGTTTTTAACTTTAAGTGCTGACTTATCACGTGCTCCGCGGTGAAGAAAAACATCGTGAGAAAACCTGAATATTTTCGAAATAATGACACAAAGAATTTATTAGATAATATGTAATTTTAGATAGATTTAATCTTGTAAATATTAGATCAGACAAAAAAATATTTTAAAAAAATGACTATAATACTAATAATAATGACTACATGAATATATTTCAAAGATATGTGAAGTCCGCCAATCCGCAGTGGGTCCGCGTGGTGGACTATGCCCTGATACCCTCTGTATAGAGGAGGCCTTTGCCCAGCAGTGGGACATGTATAGGCTGTTGAGGTATCAAAGTGAAATTGTTCAAATGGAAGAACTTTTATGGACTTGATCTATTCTGTTCCGTTTTGTACAATCATCTTATTGAATTATGTTTGTGTACACATGTACAGGTACAGAGGCTACATCCAGGCTTGGACAACTGAATTGTGCATCAACGACATGCAGAAGAATGCTAACATATGTGTGTGTGTGTGTGTGTGTGTGTGTGTGTGTGTGCGCGCGTGCGTGCGTGCGTGTGCGTGCGTGCGAGCGAGTGTGTGAGTGAGTGAGTGAGTGAGTACAGTGTGGATGTGGTTCGTATGACTGATGTACGCTTTCCTTTCCGAAGTGTGCGTGTGAATGTGTGTGTGTGTGTGTGTGTGTGTGTGTGTGTGTGTGTGTGTGTGTGTGTGTGTGTGTGTGTGTGTGTGTGTGTGTGTGTGTGTGTGTGTGTGTGTGTGCGCGCGTGTGTGTGTGTGTGTAGCATATATACCTGATGTACGCGTCCGAGTGCGTGAGGCGCTGCGCTCTCGGCGGCGCCGCCACGAAGAGGGGCTCCGGGCCGGCGCGCGCGCCCCCCGCGGCCGAGGCGTCGCCGCCGCCCGCGCCCGGCGAGGGGCTGTTGCGCGCCAGGGGCGACATGCCCGACAGGGACGCCGCTGCGGTGAGGCACATTTGGAAGTCAAGTAACAGCCTGTACATGTCCCACTGCTGGGCAAAGGCCTCCCCTGTACAGAGGGTATCAGGGCATAGTCCACCACGCGCCCCCTCAAATTAACAAATTCATTGGTGCCAGCACCAGGGATCGAACCTAGGTTCTTCGAGTATGTTAAATTAAAAGAGAGCAATGTGCTATCAGGCACATAATACGGCACTGCTTGAGGAAGGAGTACAATACTGCATATGCCCCCCTGCTGGACAAAGGCCTCCGTACAGAAGGTTGGCGACATGCCCGACTGGGACGCCGCTGCGATCAGGCACCAAATGCGCAATGCTTCAGTGTAGGGATGACAAAAATTCAATCGATATATCAATATTTTTGATTGTATATGTCGATATTTTCAGACAATACATCGATACAAAAAATTCAATATTGAAAATCGTATCAAAAACAAAATTTTTTCAAATTCAAATCTGGCACAAAGTCCATAGGTGTCAAATATTTAATTAATACTTGACATACCTTATTTTTGCACAACGATTTCTAGGACCTATATCGGATTTATCGCTTATTCTCTTCGATACATCTAGGCCGGTACTGATGTTTTTATAAATATCGATATATTTCTTCACTTCCTACCCCTACACTTCAGTGATGAGTAGACTATTCAATATCAGATATAGGCGCTAAAAAAACAACTGCATCATGGCAATTTAGCCCTCACATATAAATATAGAAAATACAAACCCCCCGGAGACATAACACCGCTCCGGAAATTGGTCGAATAAGTCTTCGTCGGCTTCTTACTCGACGGTACAAAGTTTCTGGAAAACGAAAATAATATAACAATTATTATCACAAAAGATTTAAAATTTATATTTTGCTAATTTGCTATGAAGCACAATCTTTGTCTGGTGAGAAACTTTACTATAATTATATAAAAACAACTATTTTTTTTTTTCTCTTCAAAATGAAAACGACCTTTGATTTAAACAATTCCATCCATCAGTTTCATGCTTACTAGTACATTATGGAATATTTAATTATAATATTATTGATGTAGATAAAACATATTGCGAATTAAAAATTGCCAAGAATCCAAACATCTAGTTTACATAATGTAAGTTATTTTCGCTTGCACACCGATACAGATCGCCTAGTGCGACGCCCAGAAACGGAAAAAATTAGGAAATGTAAAAAGCATCGTGTGCGCGTGTGCGTTTCAGTATCTACGTGTAATGTATACATGAGTGTATGTGTGCGTGCGTGCCTGTCTACGCGTATCAGTATCTACTGTATGTGATGTATGCATGAGTGTATGTGCGTGTGCGTGCCTGTATAGGCGTGTCAGTATCTACGTTTGACGTATGTATGCGTGTACTTATGCATGCATGCGTGCCTGTGTGCGCGCGTCGGTCTCTACGTGCGATGTATGCACGACTGTATGTGTGCGTGCGTGCCCGCGAGTCCATGTCTGTGTGCGCGTGTCGCGTCGCGCCTCACCTGGAGCGCTCGTGCACGGCCATGATGCGCCCGTTGCCCTTGTTGACGTGCAGGTCGCGCACGTGGCGCAGCAGCCGCGGCAGGTTGGGGAAGGGCGCCTGGCCCTTGCGCACCCTGGCGCAGCTGCGCCACGCGCACGGGTACTCGCCGCCGGTGGCGCCGCGGTAGTGCTGCTGCACGTGCCCCGCTGCCGACACGCATGCGCCGCGCCGCACCGCCCCGTTAGCCTCATTCGCCTCGGCCTCGCTGTGGCCTTATGCGCTACACGAGCCTCGTTCGCCCCTTTACACCCACGCCACACTAACGCCTCACTAGACTCACACGCCACACTAATCCACGCCCAGCTCAGACGTCACCCTAGCGCCATACAACGCACTAAGTTCATTCGCCATAATCGCCTCATACGCCACACTAGCCTCATACGTCACACTAGCCTCATACGTCACACTAGCCTCATACGTCACACTAGCCTCATACGTCACACTAGCCTCATACGTCACACTAGCCTCATACGTCACACTAGCCTCATACGCCACACTAGCCTCATACGCCACACTAGCCTCATATGTCATACTAGCCTCATACGCCACACTAGCCTCATACGTCACACTAGCCTCATACGTCACACTAGCCTCATACGTCACACTAGCCTCATACGTCACACTAGCCTCATACGTCACACTAGCCTCATACGTCACACTAGCCTCATACGTCATACTAGTCTCATACGCCACACTAGCCTCATACGCCACACTAGCCTCATACGCCACACTAGCCTCATACGCCACACTAGCCTCAGACGTCACACTAGCCTCATACGTCATACTAGTCTCATACGCCACACTAGCCTCATACGCCACACTAGCCTCATATGTCATACTAGCCTCATACGCCACACTAGCCTCATACGTCATACTAGCCCTCATACGCCACACTAGCCTCATACGTCACACTAGCCTCATACGTCACACTAGCCTCATACGCCACACTAGCCTCATACGTCACACTAGCCTCATACGTCATACTAGTCTCATACGCCACACTAGCCTCATACGCCACACTAGCCTCATACGCCACACTAGCCTCAGACGTCACACTAGCCTCATACGTCATACTAGTCTCATACGCCACACTAGCCTCATACGCCACACTAGCCTCATACGCCACACTAGCCTCATATGTCATACTAGCCTCATACGCCACACTAGCCTCATACGTCATACTAGCCTCATACGCCACACTAGCCTCATATGTCATACTAGCCTCATACGCCACACTAGCCTCATACGTCATACTAGCCTCATACGCCACACTAGCCTCATACGCCACACTAGCCTCATACGTCATACTAGCCTCATACGCCACACTAGCCTCATATGTCATACTAGCCTCATACGCCACACTAGCCTCATACGTCATACTAGCCTCATACGCCACACTAGCCTCATACGCCACACTAGCCTCATACGTCACACTAGCCTCATACGCCACACTAGCCTCATACGTCACACTAGCCTCATACGCCACACTAGCCTCATACGCCACACTAGCCTCATACGCCACACTAGCCTCATACGTCACACTAGCCTCATACGTCACACTAGCCTCATACGTCACACTAGCCTCATACGTCACACTAGCCTCATACGTCACACTAGCCTCATACGTCCACACTAGCCTCGTACGCCACACTAGCCTCGTACGCCACACTAGCCTCATAGGCCTCACTAGCCTTATACGCTTCACTAGCTTAATACTTTTGACTAGCATCATCCGCCCCGCATGTGCACCTAAATCTAATTCTATTAACTTCACTAGTCTCACACACCCCTCCAATCTTATAAGCATCACTATCGGTCTCACCAGCCTCAAAAGTCTGACAAGCTTTTCAAGCATAATTATTCCGCATATGTCAAGCTGACTGCCTTTCTAGCCTGATTAGCGGTTATCCTCGTATTATTACCGCACTAATACCGCATGTCACTTACATAAATTGGAAACTTATTTCATATTGTCAAGTACTAATAATTATTCATAACATCTAGCAAAAATAATTAATACAGATATTACAAATGTCAAATTTCCAATACAATTCTAACAGTACTTACGCTCCAATTTACTTTTCTTTGTTTCAATAAAAGTTCCAATCACTAGCAGCGTAAAAATAAAAAGGAGTGTGAATAAAAGGAGGTAAACCTTATAGCTGGTGAAATATCTACAGTAGAAACAGTTATCAAAAACAATACTTGTAAGATACATACTGTTTCCACCATCTCCAATACAATGTTCCATGCAGTCGGTTAGATCTTCAAATTGGTAATCGCAAGTGTCCCAAGCGCACTCGTAAGTCATCTCCATTTGAGTCTGTAAACACATTATAATTTTTTGTTTGAATAATTTTGTCGGTTATTTTGATTCTTTTAAAAGGTTACTTAACCAATCTAAAACTTATTGCCTCTGAAACAGTATTAATGAAAAAAAGGTTTGACATAAACACACATTTGAGGCTGGAAATCCAGGCCCTATTTTATTTTTATTTTTTTATGCAATAAGTTGCCAGACGGGTCACCTGATGTTAAGTGAATACCGCCGCCCATGGACATCTGCCACACCTGAGGGTTACAGATGCGTTGACAACCTTTGGAAAATTGGGCTCCGGCTACCTCACTAACCAGACGAAACGCGAAAGTATTTGTCATACTTCCACTTTACGCCGGTCTTCTGTGAGGTCGTGGTATTTACCCGGACGGGCCTGCCCATGCGTGCAACAGCCGAGGCTGCTGCGTGGCCCCTACCACCATAATATTTTTATATTCCCTAAGTTGATTAAGTTCAACTCGGCTAAGTATATTTAAAAATGTTATTTTCAGAAGTAAACCATATATATACATGTAAGATTTATACGAATTTGGCTATATGGAGCCAATCAATTACTTTTTTTTCTTTTAGCCTTGTGTAAGTTTCTTTAATTATAATTGTTCAGATTTTTATTTTTTACGATTAGTCACAATATATATTTTTCAGTTAATGGTTATTTTAATTTCGTACATTTTGTTACTCATTTAACTTTGGTTGGATGGTTGGTTAGTAGTGACGAGTTAATAACATTTTTTACAAGATAATGTCTCAATGATATGAATCCTGAACTCACGTGCTGAGAGAGCTCTCGCATCTCGTCCGCTAAGCGGGCGGAGGTCTCCTCGTTGCAACGCGCTGCCCTCTCCTCCCAGCTCTGCTTAGTAGCGGCCGGCAGGGAGCGCCATTCGTTGCCGACGATTCGCGATATCTCACCTGCGATGACCAATCACGGTTAAGGCGCCTTTTCATTGGTCGACAAAATGCTTGAGGAGGCATCTTATTGGTCGATGATGCTGTCGTAACATTTTTTTATGTGGGAAGGTGGCAAGCGAGCTGGCGGTACATCTGATGTTAAGTGATATCCGCCACTTATGGACATTTGCAACGCCCGTACGGTTTCAGATGCGTTGCCAGCTATCAATGAAGTGGGCCACAGCTACGTTACTCACAAGATGATATGCAGAAGTATAACACTTCCACTTCACGCTGGTATTCTGTGGGTTCGAGGTACTACCACAGACTTCCCCGCCCATTCGTGCAACAGCAAAGCCAAAGACTGTTCCGTAGCCCAACCACAGTTGAACTTAATTAGCCGACGATATAGTAATTATCATAAGACATATATCAATGATTGGTAGCCTGTTCGAAAGATGAATTATCTATAGCCCATTGTCGTATTCTTAACTCTCCCACGCATCCAAATATGCTATCTTGCTTGCAAATGGTTCCAGAGAGCAATCCTTTTAGCTAAGTTTGATGAAACCCGCAACCCAAACATTGCAATTGCAAACAACAATAATATATAACAACTCTTTATTGTTGTTTGCAATTGCATTGTTGAACTAGTCTTAGTTTCGAAATATTGAATCACCTATTCTCATAAGCATTGTGAGATATATGTTTATATTTTTAACTTATAAAAGATTTTTATAAGATATAATTTATTATAAGTTAAAAATTACCAAACGTCGACTCGGGGTTGTTGGCGACGATCGCCTTGCGGACTTCGCTGGAGTACAGAATGTAGCCGGTGACAATCTTCTGCTTCTGTTCCTTCTTCTTCTTGCTGCTGGCGGGCGTGGCCGTGGTGGGGTTGGAACGCTCGTTGCCGGTCGACGGTGTCATGGACGGATTGTACGGGTTGCTGTTACCGCCTGCCAAAAAAGAGAAACCTTATCATGACACTAAGAAGATCTGTGATGTCACACTGCTTAGTACATAGCCATAAGTTGACAATAGTTATAAATAAAAATTCACTAGTTCCATAATCTATAAGGATTTATTTACAAGCAAAACATGCAAAATGTCTGCCGGTAACTTTGTATCAGAACCAAGCATTACATTGTAAAGGTCTTTGGAATTTCTTTGGAACTCTATGCTGGATAGTTTTTTATATCCTGTCCACATAATAATGAAAACTTTACTCATCGGATTTTGGTGAGGAATCAATGGGCGTACTAGTCCCGGAAAGTGCCGCGGTGATACATTGATGACAACTTGACACATATAAAATCGTTTTAAAAGTTTATTGAGCCGTTAGACAAAAACCTGTAGGGTTATCAACTAATAAAGAAGTGGGCCCTGATACCAAACTCTCTAAACGATAAGCGATGAAATAAAAATAATACTTCCACGTCACGCCGGTTTTCTGTCAGATGTGCCTTCCCATGCATGCAAAAGCTGAACTGAACCACAGTACTAAACACCACATGAATTGTTAGATAGTCAAATTTAATTAAAAAAGAAAACACATTCAGTATACCTATAGATAGGGGCGTAGCTGGCGATGCCAATGACGAGTCGTCCAAAGAATTTTCCAGAATCATCTCCACGTCTTGACTGCCTATAGTCGTGTTGATGAGATTTGTGAACTGAGGCTTGCCATCCTAAGAAAACAAAATTTACTTTAGAATAAATTGCCATACATCTACAGCATGTTGTTATCGCAATTTTAGATACATTAATCAAGAAATTAATGAAAAAATGAATATTGTGCACCGCATTTTTATCGTAACTAAACAATAGAGGCAACACTTATAACTTTCATAATTATTCAAAAATATATACTTAACATAAAGATTGAAGAAATTTGAATAGTATAATGTAAAGGAAATGTTTTAAAAAACTTTCAACCTTGAGACAATTGATCTATAAGTATTAATCTCTTTCTCTCGTGAGTGTTTATCCGTGCAAGCATGTGAAAAATTTAACCAGCAATAGAGTACCATTGAATCCATGTTGACGTTGGGATTGAAAGGTTTCTGAGAGAATGCACTGGACGAGGACTGCACTTCCTGGGCGGTCGCCAGAGCGGGCGGGCCCAACGGTTTCGGGAAGAAGTAGATCTGTAACATAATAGAACATATTAAAGGAGATGTCTTAGTCATTTATTGCACCTGGGCTAGCGCCGTTCTATGCAATAGCTGTGTTTTTTTTTATAACCCCTATATTTCATATTTTTATATGTACCTGACACGACCTTAGTTTAAACATGATGTTTGCCAGTCATTATACATAGAGGAGTCATGTATAGTACGGTATGGTGTCCATGAAATAAGCGGGACGTTTACGAGTGTATTTGACTCGTCGATCGTCACGTTCTTGGTTTATTCAACATGTTTGCCGGTCATTACACATAGAACAGTCAGGATAAGGTGTCCATGAATTAAGCGGAACGTTGTCGAGTGCACTACCTCTTCAATCATCCCGTCCTTGGTTTAATAAAGACGTTTGCTGGTCATTACACATAGAAGAGCCACGCACGGTAGTGTGTCCATGAAATAAGCGGGACGTTGTCGAGTGCACTAGCTTCATCGACCGTCACGTCCTTGGTTTAACCAAGACGTTTGTCGGTCATATACTTTGAAGAGCCACGTGGGGTGGGGTATTCATGAAATAAGAGGACCGTTGTCGAGTGCACTCGCCTCGTCGACGGTCACGTCCTTGGTGTGCTCGAACTTCCTCAGGCCGGTCTTGAGCTTCCTCGCGACGCGGTTGGACTCGTCGTACACCGACTCGCAGACGTACACGTCGCTCTCAGCGATCTCCGTGGGCCGGCCTGCGGAAAGTATCAACAATATACTACAGTTCGTACGCATTAACCATGTAGTGAATCATCATTGCCCGCCCCGTAACCGATCAAATCGTACCTCATTAGAAAGCAAAGTTCACATCACTGACCAATTTAATTGATAAATATTTTCAAACATATATCTTATGACATGAAACATGATGATGCACACATGTCCACACGTGAGACTGTATAGCTGAAGTTTGTCAATTACGTCGAAACTTGGGACTTTACACTTTACAGTTTTTTTTATAAAACTTTATACTGTGCCTAGCAACATTAATAAGGAAATAATCCGATATTGGACTAGCGCATCGGAATAATTTTAAATTTAACTCGACCATATTGGCAAAGAATGGTATGTGGGTGGGACTTACACTTGAGATAGTCATCGTAATCGAGTACAGCGCATTTGCCCACAATGCCCACCAGGGGGCTGGTGTCGTGCATCGTCGTCAACAGCACTTCTTGCTTGTAGAATGGCTGAAAATATAAATAATTGCATAATGTTTTGGGTTTATTAGACAAAATAAAACTATTTTGACGCAATCCAGACATAGCCATGGACTTTGGTATATACGCATATTATATACAATAAATATTGATTTGTTTACATTGAATTTGATGAATTTATAAATACAGCTGAACTTATTGTTCAGTCATATCTTTATGACTCGTATCGAATTGTATTTTCAGTCCTAAGGATGAAAAGTATAAATACGGCACTCTGTCGATCGGAGTACCAGATAATTCTATAGCAGAATTTCGAAGGATAATACAGTAAACGTTTATTAGAATCACTGAGCGCGGCGGTTTGTGCTTTTTAGAGCATAATAACTGATAATGGCCATAATTAATTTATTTTCAACAACTTTAAGGTACAGGAGAAGACGAACACTCAAAGTCTTCCGCCTAATGACGGTAATAAGGATGTCAATTATTTTCACTCTTACATAATTAGAAAAGAAGCAGCCGCACTAAGGGACCCCAATTAGCCCTTAAGCAATTACTCTAATTACGATGCGAAATACAATCAATACAGATATTTATTTATAGGCGTAAACTAAGCAAGTAAGACTATCACGAAGTTCACGAAAGATATTACCTTGTTAATGATGTTAGCCACCTCCGCCGGGAAGATGAGGAACGGACCGCGGAAGTAGCATTTATTGCTGGAACAGATAATAAATTGATTAGAGCATACTAATTGACGTTGTGTCCACCCTTAGTAATCCCTATTTAAGATGTGTCAAATAAAGCATGAATAAATCAATGTATAAATAAATACACTCCAAGTTATTTATCCTCATCAGTGTAGTGGATGGACATTGCTATGTTGTCCATGCTTCATTGAACTTATTTGATTTCAAAGGTGACAGTCGCGTTGATTCACCGTGCACACTCTTATAACGTCAATTATCACGAACTCGATTAGAAACAAAGTACAATAAGTATAAAATACTATATATTTTTATGTAAAACTAGCTGGCGGTTTACCTGATGTTAAGTGATAACCGCCGCCCATGAACATTTACAACATCTGTAGGGTTACCAATGCTGTGGCACCTTCCAATAAAGTAGGCCCCGGTTATCTCAATTGCCAGAAGAAATGCAGAACTATAATGCTTGGCTTAAGTTTTAGTTAACTTTAACTTAACACTTAAGTTTATTTGATAATTGGAAAAACTTATCTTTAAATGTATATTTTTATTTTGGACTATAATAAACTTTATCATCAATGATTACGATTCCCGATTTATTTACTTTCTCATCTGGTTGGGTTTCTAAGTAAAAATAAACATATACACCAGGACGGACCTGCCCATTCGTGCAACAGCGAGGACTGCTGCATGGCCCTAACAAAGTAAAAGTTGAGTTCAAGTCGAGAGTTCAGTTGAATTTAACTGCGGTCTATGACTCACTCTCCCGTCTCCCATATGGTGTCCACTTGCGCGATCATCTGCTTGCCGCCGTCCGTCACCACGTACACGTAGTCGCCGGTTTTTATCACCCCGGAGCACACGGTGTTGTACTGCTCGTAGTAGGTGTTCTCGTCGTCCGTCCCCAGCGGGTTGTACATCACCACGTCCTGCGGAAGGTGGCGTATCAGGTGACTGATTCCATTAATAAGTGTGTTATGTACGGGTGTAAAATGTACAGGCGTAGATTTAAGGCCACTGGGTGTGGGCTCATTGAACCAGGAAGCAGCTTGAAGAAAAAATACAAGGGCTGGAAGAGTCCCTTCAGATTGTAGTCTTTTTGGTTCGGGACCGATAAGGCCTGATCTCAATTACCAGTTTCCCTAAGGACGCCCCTCCCCCTCGCTCCATTTAATCGTCTTTTACATTAGATAGGTGATACCTTAACCCTACCCAAAAAGCCCACAGCACCATAGTCGTAAACTTTACAGTATTTAGTGGGCAACTTTAAGTTCCTCACCGGTCTATCCTTCTCCTGGATATTCTCCAACACCTCCAGCTCGGCAAGCTCGTCCTTGTGCTTCTCGATACGCTCGCGGAAGACTGACACTGTTCTATTCGGCTCCAAGGCCACCTATAAAAGTAATGGTATCATTTTAGTCTAAAATAGTCTCCTAGGTTGCAGTACTACCTACTTCACCTTCACTTTTTTTTATTTTTATAAAAACATTGTCATTACTTTAGGATAATATTATCCTGTGTTGTAATGACCTTTTACAAACATAAACTTCACGCAGACAAACACCCAGATGCGAAACAACTATCTGTGGGTCGTACAAATATTTGTCCCGTGTGGGAATCGAACCCACGACCCCTGACGTCGAAGCCAATACCTTGGCAACTGCGCCACGGAGTCATCAAATCATAGTCATAATAACTTTTAGATTGTTTCGTTATCGTGTCAATTTTTCATTTATGTAGCTTGTTTTTACTTACATCTCTAGGAGTGAGCGTGGCTTCCTTCTCCGCGCCCTCCCAGACCTTGATCTTCTTGAACCAACGGTGTTTCGTGTTGTAGCGGCTCTCGCATACGTATACGTCCTTGTCGGCGTATCCTAGGAGGATAAAAGCACCCAAATGTTTGATAAAGTTGAAATTTAACCGCGTTAAACTTTTCAATATCACGGAACAGTGCCCAAAACTTTAATAATATTGATGCAAGAGTATAACCGTGCATCTGTTACCACCTTCAAATCGATTGGAAACTGAAATGTGTTAAGATTTAATTTTATTTAAATTAAAAAGCTCAAGACTAGAAAATCTCTCAATGTTGCAGTAAACCAATGAAATTAATAATTTCTACTCTTGTTTAGCAATGAAGAGACCATTGCGCTCCCAGATTTCAAATTTTTCCTGTTCAAGATACAATTTTCGTCGCTTTTCGAAGTTTTTTCCACGACCGAGACACAATCAACAGATAGTAATGAAAACAATAAGTTTGCACGAATGTTCGCAGTTACGCACACGAAAAGGCCAAAAGCGCCCCGTATTTTACAGCAAGCTTATAAACGATATTTGAAACTATTTGTGTGCTTAAAAAGGACAACATTAGATGCGCCGAGCATTGCTTAAAATGCGAAAATATAGATAAAATACGTTGAGATTTTCGTCTGTGCGGCAGCCCTAGCAGCCTTAGCCTTTAGCTGAGTGGTTAAAGCGTCTGGTCGCGATTTCAGAAGAGGTGGGTCCGATTGCCGCAGCGGCGTCACCTTCCGGCCGGAACTTGAAGTACTCCTTGACGTTCATGACGTAGCAGCGGCCGAGCACGTGGTCGAGGGGCACAGTGCGGTGTGTCTCGGTCTTGAACACCTCCTGCTGCAGGAATTTGCGCGTGCGCACGTGGAACGTCTCTTGAGGCCTGAGACATTTTATCAAAAAAAAAACTTTTTATTTAGCAAAACAATTAGTAATGTAATTGTTGAAAAAGTTTGTTCTATGATCACTTTTTTGTAATAATTCCTATAATTTTAGAAGTTAGAGTGAAACTCAATATAGTTATACCAAACTACAAATAACATAGAGTGTTAAATATTGAAATAAATAAAAACATTTATTTACTAAATGTATACCTGAAATAGGGGTTGCAGTACATCATTGGAACGCCTTCGTTGTTGGTCCAGACGCGCTCCACTTGCACGATGGCCGGTTCCTTGTTGCCTTTCTCCGGCTGAATGTAAACAAAGTCGCCCTTGTTGTACTGGGTCTGCAGAGGCGCCCCGCCGGCGGGCAAGGAATCGTCGGTACTCGATCTGGGAATCCATTTGTTACGCTTAAATTGATTGCACTTGATTGTATTAATGAGCAGTTTGACAAGACATAGTTAAGATAATTAGATTAATTTTGATAAAACTTGTTAAAGGATTTTATCGCGCTTAGGTACCACTATAAACTTCGAGTAGAGAATATTTTAAGGCATTGATGATCATGGATTGGAATATTGGATGTGAATGCTAATCTAAAATTAATAATCGTCGAGGAAGTCCGAATTAAGGACTAGCGCGTCAGCTTGACTATTATTATTGTAAATCCAATTGATACAGTCTTGAACACTGTTTTGCAAACTAATCACTGAAGACCAGAAAAATTAAAATAATCATGTAAGTGTAATATCCCTCTATAAGATCACAGAGAGTACAAGCTTTGTGTAATATTTGAGTAAATAAGAGGAACCATTACCTATAACTTACAATTAAGTTGGCAAAGCTGGCTTGAAATTATTTAAGACTGCCAATACTATGTATTGAAATAGACGCGTATTTAGTAGCATGTACAGAGTATTTACTAATCTAGACAAATTAGAGAAACACACCACTCAGCCACAAGAGGCAACACTAAACGCGCAACATTCAAACAAAGGTGTAGTAACAGTGAAGGATGTTAAAAAATATAATTATGTATTCTACTAGTGTCTCCAACTGGTTTAATTGGTACAGAAGTGAAATGTGGTTAGCTGCATAATGACCATAATTATATAACGTTTTACCAAATTTATACATTTGACAATAAAAATAATTTTCTAAATAAAAAAATAACTGATGCCTAACCTCGCGACAAGAATCGTTGTCTAATTCTACATTCTATCTAACATTTAAAAAGATAGCTAATAATTTTCAACAGTTAAAAACGGGCATGGTAATCGGTCAACGTTTAAATGTAGAACATAATAATTATTATGAGTGCGGTGGTGCCTGCCTCGTCTCCTCCTCCTCGTCGTTCTCGCGCAGCATCTTGCACTGCTTGACCAGCTCGACGCTGGTGGCGATGGCGTCCCTGGTGAAGGCCAGCGCCGGCGACTGCAGCACCCCCCGGCAGAGCTGGTCGCGCTGCTCCGTGAAGTACGACTGCATCTCCAGCGAGTCCTCGAAGATCTGGCTGTCGGTGCGCGAGAGGCGGCGCGCCCTGGAACCGGACTCGGCATTTTATTTATTTATTTAATCTTTATTGCCAACCTTCAGTAAAACAAGGTAACAAAGGGCGGACTTAATGCCCAAAGGCATTCTCTACCAGTCAACCCAGGATGTGGTGAGAGTTTATGGTAGGTGCAGCAAAAGATGCAAGAATAATAAAAAAGAAGAATAAAATTTTAATTAAAGAGAATATATATGAAAATAATATTATAATTGGATACAAATCATATATTAAGTTATATACATGCATATGTATATATACATATATATATATATATTCAAATATTTAAATATATATTAAGATGTATACTTGTAAAAATAAATAACAATTAGCTTCTACTTTTAACTACAGTCCATATCTTAGGTCGAATTTGTCTTTAACAGGTGTTCACAAACCAATATTATGAAAGATGTCTTACTTTTTGCGTTTCTTACGTTATCGGGCAAGGAGTTCCAAAGATGTATAGCTTGGATAGTAAAGGAGTTGACAGAGAACCCGGTAAAGTGCGCTGGAATGCATAATTTATTTGTGTAAGACGACCGAAGTACCCTATCATGAGATGAGGAGAGATACAAGAATTTGTTTTTGAGGTAAGAAGGGGAGGAACAATCATTTAAAATGGAGAAAAGCACAAGCAAAATTCTGGACTGCCGCCTTTGCCGAATAGTAAGCCAATTAAGTTGAGATCGATAGGAGGATATGTCGTCATACTTGCGTAAGCCGAAAATGAACCAGATACAGTTATTAAGGAGGCGATCCAACTTGTTTAGTAGATGTTGGGATACGTCCGGGTAACACACATCTGCATAATCGATAATGGGTAAAATGAGCGTTTGGACAAGCAAAAGTTTAGTTTTGAAAGGGAGGAAATCGGCATGGTTACAGGTATGGGGTCGATTCCTTTTTATTTGAATATATCAACAAATACAATTACCTAAAGCAGAGTACTTATTGATTAAACAGATATACAAATAAATAAACTTTACAAATTTCATATACTAGCCGTTAACCGCAGCTTCACCTGCGCGGCCAAAGGGAATTAACAATGAACTTTTTACTAAACAATAAGTTTTTTATTTTACACCAGAATATCTAGCAGATGGCTGAGTTTTTTCCTACTTAGTACTACTTATTTTGTACACTTCACACAATATCTTAATAGCCTATGTGTTATTCTGATGTATAAGCTATATTATTGTAAAGTTTCATTAAAATGTATTCAGTAGTTTTTGCGTATGAGAGTAACAAACATCCATCCATACATATAAACTTTCGCGTTTATAATATTAGCAAGGATATATAAAATCTAAATATAAACAAATATAATAAATAAGGATAAGGATTTAATTTAAAGGTCAACATGAAAGAAACTATCGAAACTGTCTCAGAAAACTCATAAAAAATAATAAGAATCTAAAAAATATCTAACCTCTCAAAAACGGCAAACATATCCTGCTGGAAGTGATCCAGGCGCTTGTACAGCCCTTTGTCGAGGCGACGTTTCACCAAATCCAAGGATATGGCGCGGACCTTTTCGCCGCTCGATGTTTCGTCGTGTTCGGGCAGTTCGGCCATGCTATCCGAGTAGCATCTGGAAACAAACACATTTAGTTTTGTTGGATTATAAATGGATTATTTAGACGATGGGTTAAATATGTACTGATACACAGGAAAAGTGGAAATAATAACAAACATATAAACTTTCTGTAAAATCGCTTCTCGGCCTTTTGGACAAATTTGTAAAAAGTAGTAAGTCTCGTCTATGGGGGAGGCCAATATGAGATAAATGAGGTCCACTGCTGAACATATTCAGCAATGGACTCAAACAGGCTGAAATGATGATGATGACAAGTAAAAATACTGATAGACAACTTCTTGGTTTCTATGAACATGACACTCTTACCTGCCCTCTTCATCCTGGTGGTTATAAACCGAGGTGAACAAGTTCAGGAGCAAATCTTGAACGGCGGCTGGCACATCTGGGACCGCATCGTCATCCTCCCTGCAAGGCACATTAGTTTATAACAAACTAAACTTTATTACCGGCAGAGAAGAAACTGGCTAAGAAAAAAAGTGACTGGATCAAATTATTGCCTGTACATGATTGCATTTGTATGATTACAAGAAGTTCATTAGGATATTTACTCAGACATGTAAAATTTAATCTATCTGTAGAATCTATTACACATCACATTAAAACACATGCAGGTAACATGTAAAAATTTTATTTATGACCTATATGACCCTCTTATGCATTACATAAAGACTTCAACTTATATTCAAAGTTAGACAACTAACTGGAGTGGTACCATCTAATTACGTAGCTTGGCGTACAACATAAGCCATGTACATCTATAAAGCGAGCACTATACTATGTTATTCTATCGCTTTGTATTCAGTGTTTACGTCTCTATCTAATATCTTCTCTCTCAACGAAATAGGCACTCACTCTCAATTCTTGTCCAATCTTCGAAGTTTTATGCATGATCGACATTAGCAGGTTATCAATGAAACTGCCATCTCCAAGGAAGTCCACGGGTCAATTACCTCAACAGCTGTTTCGTTTGCAGGCACACCCGCTGCAGGATGAGCGCGTCCTTGTATATCTGTGAATCGGGCTCGTTGTACTTGCAGGCGTTGTCGAACATCAGTATGAAGTCCGACGCTAGCTCGTTCACGGAGCTGTAGATGCCGTTCTTGAGCTTGTGTGCTATCTTCTCCATGTCGATGGGGTTTTTGATTAGCTCGTAGTAGTCCGGATACTCAGTCTTGCTCGGCAGCTTCATGAAGATCAGCGCCAGTTGGCGGTTGGCTGCGAAGAAACGAGCGGCTGTTGTTACTTTTCATTTCGCTACTCGTTGGCGCAGCTAAACTTTCGGCTTAAGCGCCGGGTGTCGTGGGCTCGATTCTCGCAAGATTTTGTGTGACCCGCAGACAATTTAACCGAATTTGGGTAAAATTAAAACCTATTCAATACACAATACCAATCAAAACAAGGTTCGCTTGTTATGCCGACTCCACATAGGATAAGTGCAAGAGGATGATAGATGCTATAAATTTTCAGTAAAATGGTTTAGTGATAAGCCCATAAAGGGTGTTGTTGTGTCTTATACACCCTTATAGTAAATGTAAGTTAAGGACCAAGACGCATGTCTACAATTTCAGAGCAGGTCAACATTGACATTAGAAAGTTCGCGTAAATAGGGCAAATTATTATCAAAATTGTATTAGATAATATTAATTCTAACCTTTAGGATCTCTATAGTCTCGGATGGCGTCGTACAGAGTCCTCAACTTCTGTTCGAAAGGCGACAGCTGCCTAGACTTAACCGCCTTGAACGCTTTTAGCGGAGTCTTCTTCTCGTAGCTGCTGTTCAGCTCTCTCAGCTTCTCGTTCATGTATCGCTCCAGAAGATTCGCGTCCTCGTATATCATGGAGCCCTCTTCGTTGAATTGGCGACAGTTCGAGAACATTAGGCGAAAATCGGAAACCATCTCCTCCACGCTGCTGTAGCGGTCGCTCTGCGGATCATAGATTCAGGATTAATATTATGTGTTTATCAAATAGTACTAATCATTACACATTTCACCGTCATCTGTAGCACTTGCGAGTTTTTTGTCATATTTGTTTTTACATATGTAAAAACACCCACATTGCGATAGATACTTTAGACTAGCTGAACCCGACCTCACTTCACTTTACCCTTTTTTTTCGATACTGTTGGTACTTTGGCAAAAAAATTATAAGAATACTATACTACGTTCAATAGGTATGTTGTGAACAAATATCAAATTAATACATCGGCTAGCTTTTAAGTTTTGTGGATACACATACGGATGTAACATTTTTATAAATGCATAAAGATTATCAACAGATGAATCTGTATACCTTGATGTTAGACTCTATAGTGATCATGTCTATCGGCCTGTCGATCACGTTGTAGTACTCTGGGTACAGTTTCTTGCTGGGCTTCTCCATGAAGAGCAGCATCGGCTGCCTGCCGTCCGAGCACGTGAACTCGACCAGCTGCTTGGCGATGTAGTGCAGCTTCTTCTTCAGAGGCAGGTTCGACTTGGGCACTGAAGGCGTGGTGACTGGTGACGGGGCTGTCGCCGGTACGGGGTTCAAACGCGGGCGGCCTGTCAATTTAGTGGTTAATACAAACGGTTAATAAAGTGTTAATTAATCCGTACTGGATGCCGGTTCTAAATTCAGAGATGTTGGTTATGTACATTTATATTTTATACTAGCGACCCGCCCCGGCTAAGCACGGGTGCAATGTATTATACCTATAAACCTTCCTCTTGAATCACTCAATCACTTAGTAATATTTTTCTACTATTTAGCAAACACTTATTACAAAATGACAAATATTGACATTAATATTTATATGATACTAACGTCACTCAATTGTGTTGCCTTCCCGGAACCGCTCCACTAACACTTAAACTTTATAGAATGGTATTAAAGTTCAAATTGAATTAGTATTATAACAAATGTTTTGTATGGGAATATAGAAAATTGTAGTTTTTAGACTTTTTCAGGCAATTTTTTTCTCTCTGTAAGAACCATCCGCGTACTTTAAGGAATATTATAAAAAAATAATTAGCGAAATCGGTCCAGCTGTTCTCGAGATTTGCGCTTAGCAACACATTCAGCGATTCAGTTTTATATATAGAGATATTATAAAAGATTAATAGTGTAGGAGTATAGACAATTAAGAGTATGGGAGTTAAATTAGAAGGTTAATAGTAGAGTAGTATAGATGTTTAATAGTATGGAAGTTAAATTTTTGATTTTGTCTATAAATACTCGTGCGGATCTACGCTCTGGGGAACCGGTGATCGGTCGTCAAAGCGTAAACGATATTTGTTATTTTATTTTTCTATTGCCAAAAAAATAATATTGTGTGGAGAGATTATTTTCCTTTTGTTTTAAAAACTTTCTTTTAAAAAAAAATCCTTACGAATATTGTATTATAGTATATTGTAGAAAAGACAGACTCTTATTCCTCAATAGTGTTTTTCTTGACTCTTATTTCTCGTGAGTACGCCATAACTTCCATAATTGTCTGTAAAATTTAATTATTCAAACATAATTTTAAAGGATAGTAATAAATTTACCTCTCGGTCTGGGCGTAGCAACTTGCGTCTGATTCTTCACAGAAGAAAGGCTCTCGTCGTCGCTTGATGAACTTTGCACTATATCCAATAGTTCTTGTACGCGTTGTTGCATTAACCTTAAATAACAGTTATAATAAATTAATTTATAAATATAAACATTAATATTTATACTCCATGAACATCCATTAAAATTTTGCATTCATAAATTAGGTCCATCATTTCTTCACTGCTATAATAATTGATTGTAAACTAGTTCCATTGGTTTTGAGAAATGTGTGAGGTTTTTTAAAATTTTGGTTAACTGTTCATAATGTTATCCGAAATATTCGTCGTTTACGAAACAAAAACATGTTCTTCGCCACTGTCGACAAATGTGCAGTGGGAAACACAGAAATATTTGTCGCGTGTCGAAGTCAAGCCCATGACTTTCGACGCCAAAGCCAATACCTTGGCAACTGCGCCACGGAGCCATTAAAATTTCTATTTAGTTATATGATTACTCTGGATTGATGAAACTTGCGAGAGCATGCCCCCTGCCCTGTACACACCTCTGCAACTTGACGGCGTCCTTGTACAGTCTAGAGCTGGGTACATTGTACTGCTTGGCGTTTTCGAACATAATGTTCATGTCGCCTGCCACCTCTGACAGAGTTCCGTAGTTGCCCCTGCGAATTTTGTTCTTTATCTGGTTGAGGGACACGGGATTCTTGATCTCCTTGTAGTAGTCCGGGTAGGCGCGTCGCGATGGAAGCTTCCAGAACGGCTCCGCCATTGGTGTGCCTTAATAAAAAAAGGCAAGATACATTGACATATGATTAACGGATAGTCTAGCCTTCAATGTTGTGGTAAAGTCTCGACGTTAAGAATTTATGGTATACAAAAAATTTTAAACATGAAAAAAATCAAAAATAATCAATGAAGTTTTGAAACAAAAATAATGAAAAATATAAAACAACACTTTCATTTAACAAGAAAGGAAGGTGTGTGGTTAAATTGTGAAAATTTTATTTGACTGTTTAGTTAAAAGTTAAATTAATTGGTAAAAGTTAAATTGACTGTTAGCTCGCTGGATTTAATTAACGAAAAGCGGGAACTAAGTGTTGGAGAATCTTGTTTAATTTATATTTGCACAATATACCATTGGATCCGAGGTGATTCTTGACAGTCTCTAGTAGCTTCCATTGTGGCGAGTCTTCGTTTTCAACTTTCTCCTCGTCACTATCGCCGGCACTGTCTTCGGAGTGCTGAAAATTGTACACCTGGTCAATAAGTATCTGGACTTAGGTTTCACGTTGGCCTTAAAACTTTTCAAGCGGAGACCAAAGGCTGTAGGTACATTTTACGAATGTGTCGAGAAAAATAGAAAACTAGTTACCTAAATACTATGTCTTAAAACTGAATATAACATGGAAGGATCACAGACAGGATTAAATTGATGTTACTATGAATGTGGAGGTGAAGAGGCAGATTGTTGCCCTCTCTTTTGCGCCACAGTCCAAAACGCTTTCTGTCTCTTTACACGTTTATAGTAGCGAACGTAAATGACATTTTTGAGTACGGCACTATTGTTTCAGACATAGTTTAGGCAATTTTTGTTCAAAAACTTATGACATATGCATCTATGACAACAAATCACGAAACCGTCCATCTCTAGTTATAAGTAAACCTATAGTTTTAAACCATTAGAATCAGCTAACATTAAGATTTTTTAGGAATCAAGCCAGTCCGAAAATAATAAAAAATAACCGTTGCTTTAATACGCACTTAAAACTTTATACTACACGCTTTAATAATTGGTCAGAAGATATACTTAAGGATCGGACAATGTTTAGCCAGTCTCCATTGGCATCATTAACTGTATAATTCGAAATTTGTAAAAGTAAAGTCTACAACAATCCTGCTGAGCAACAGACCTCCTCTGTACAGACCCTCTGTATCAGGTAGCATAGTTCACTACGCGAACCCACTGCAAAATGGTAGGCACTTCTTATATCTTCGAGCATTTTCTTGTCATTATTCAAGACCCCTGACCACATGAAAATTCTGCATTTAAAATTAACAATCTTATTTTGGTGCTAGCGCCGCAATTTAAAATCGAGTATTTTGGACTAAGAGCGAGCGCCCGGACACTGAGCTATCACGGCTCTTGTGTGTCTGTGTTTGTTATTACTTTGTGTTTTTTTTTATTACTTTCACATCGGTCTCCGTCTCGGAGCCGGGCGGGTCCATGATGGCCAGGGCGCGGCTGCTGGGCACCGGACCCACGCGCGAAGAACGCTTGCTCCTGATCCTCTCGGAGGTCTTCGCTGGACCGCTTCTACCGTGCTGGTCGATCTCTTGCTTTCTCACTTGTATCACCTACAACAAAAGCACACATAGAAACTCAGATGATTATGTTGTATTGTGTCTGTGTGGAAGGGGATTGGTAGTAAGACCACCTAGAAAGCTAAACCACAGCAACCTAGAAAGATCTATTGTAGTCTTTCTGTACTACAGATTTGCACATCCTTACCAGACAGGACAAATAATTTTTTTATGATGACAAACATTTAGATCCGAAGCAACTATCCATGGGTCACACAAATAGCTGTCACATGTGGTAATTAATCAAACGGCCAGCGCGCCAAAGCCAATTGCATCATCGCGTCACAGGTTATAAGCTTTGGTAGGTACAGAAACAATACAAAAACTTTAATGTGTAAATTAAGTTTTACATTAAAGCATATAGTTACTTAGTTTGAATTTATCGTTTTGGACGAGAATATTAGTACATTTCGGCATTAAGTAGTTAGGAGTATACTTAAATGTATAGTATGTTAAAACCTTTCTATGGTATGGACTATAAGTATAAACAAGGAAACAACCCATCAAGAGTATTAAATTTAAAAATTTTGTACAGCAACATAGAACTGTTTCTCTATTTTCAAACAAATAGTTTGGGCAGTGGGATATCAATATCATGACACTGTATGCAGAATTTCTTGTTATTAAATTGTAGTAGTTGATATCCTTGCCTCATTTATTAATAATGAGTAACGGGTAAAGATTAGAATTGAATAGTATAAATTGTGTTTATCCTGATAGGAAAGAAAAAAATTATATACCTTCTTCAATGCTTTTGCATCTTTATATATCTGACTTCCAGGCTCATTGAAATGACAAGCATTCCTGACCATAAGAAGAAGATCTCTCTCCAATTCTGTCAGGTTTGAGTACTCGCCAGCCTGGATTTTCTGCGCTATTGTCTTCAGATCTATTGGCGATTCGATCACACTGAAGTATTCTGGGTATCGACGCTTCGATGGCAGAAATTGGAAAGCGGGGTACAATGGTCTGCCATCCGCATTAGCAGACATCACCTGGAAACCAAAGCAATATCACATCAATATCAAATTTAATTACTACTTAACATATCAAGGTTATCTAAACAACTAATTATCAATCATTATTTGTGGCAACATATTCAGTGAGTATGATATTAGCAGAGTTTTGTTATAAAAAAGTAGGAAATTCTGATATAATATATTTACAGGTTTCAAATCAAATCATTTATTCATTGAAGTAAGAAGTAAGTTTCATCTACCGATAGTAATTTTTTTAATCTACAACCATTTCGAAATAATGTTTCCTCTAACAGAGTAGAAACAGATGAAAGAAACTCTGTAGGTATCCTCTTTTTTGTATTTTTTTTATTATTTCAGGTTAACATTCATGCAGTATGTCAATAATAGACAAGTTGTATTTGCCATTACATTAATATAAAGTACATACACAAATTAAAAAATATAAACCTTTGACACTAGCACAGTAAAAACTCACAGCATTAAACAACTCCTCAAAAACATTGTCATCCTCATTGTTGGTAGATGTCTCCGATAAGTCTTCAGCTACATCCGAACGCCTACTTGATGATCCATTACGTGATACTTTTGGTGTTTTAACCTCCTCGCCTATAAACATGTTGCAAAACATTAATATCATAAATATTTAATCTTGCATAAAAAACATGTTTCATGTTATGTAAAATGTTTAAAATGTATCCCACATTTCCCAGAATAGGCGTGGTAATAATTACGATTTGCAAAGAAAATTCTTTATGAAATTCATAAAGCTGATTAAACTTTTTAAGATCCTTTTTTTTAACTAAAAATATGCTATTCATAATAAAGTCATTCAATATTATTACCATTCTCAAGCAACTGTCTATTATGGGTGTAGAGCTTCCATAAATCAGTTGCATCTTTATACTCTATAGAATCGGGTTTATAGAAGGCTTTCGCATTATTTACAAGTAGTTCAATATCTGCTGACAACTCTTCTATATCCTCATATGTATCCGTTTTAAGTTTTTGTTGAACCTGCAAAAGTAATCACTTTAAAACATTTTAAATGAGTTAGTAACACGGAGCAATTTCTGCTGATGTGTGAATAGCCCAACACATTTTGTCTAGTTACCTATCCATAACTTACCCTCCTAAAGAGTGGTAATAGAAACACTATGGTCAAGTACCAATGTGGTAAAAAACATTTAAGCAAAGAATATTAAATATTGCCACATATGTCAATACTCACGAACTCTGTATATTAAAGCATACCTCAGAACCATAAACAGTTTCTAGATAAACCTATTTTTACAAATTTATTGAATTCATTTTAATTATGATTCTCAACATTTTGATCACTAGTGTTCATGGTCATGACACAGGCTACTGAGTCATTGGACTGCTAATTGTGATTGGTAACCCGACTACCACCAGTTTTTAGATGAATAATTTTCATATTTAATTTTTGCATTTAAATAATTAATTTTGTATGAAACAATCAAGCCCTAAACACCATTTACAATTTTTCAGCTTGTTTTCTTTTACTACTAATTGAGCTTGAAAATAATATATATGAATGTAAGAAAAATAGAGAATGGCACTTTTTTCTGGACTGTTGCAAGGAAAACATTGCCAAATATGGTATAAAGTGCTTTTATCCTTGGTTTAATTGACCAAAAATCCAGGACTTTCTTCTGTCATTAATGACAATTGTTTTGTTTATCCAATGATGATGTCATTTAATTTCTAAATATAAAATTAACCCATTAATGTTTTTATTGTCATGAATGGCCATTTGTACAGAAAATAGCATCTTCATAAATAATTTGTACCCTCAGTAAGTCAATAGGCTGTGACACCACTTCATAATATTGTGGTTCTTGACGTCTCTTCGGTGCTCGAATAAAAGAGTCGCATAAAAGAGAACCGTCCTCTTTCTTATATGAACGTATAGTGTCATACAATTGTTGGCATATTTCGCTCTGAAACAAAAGAATGTTTCGTGATAAATTTTATTTAATATTCATCATCGGAAAATGCAAGCAAACTGTGCTAGTTAAATTTACCGGTTCTAACTTCTTCTTTTTGCGTGATGGCGGTGGTCCAGGATTACTTAGTTCTACACCATCGTCACTATCATCACCATCTGCACCTCGACTAGCAACTGATGAAGCTCGACGTCTCTTACTCATTTTTTAATCACAAAAACGTTACTGAAGCCAACTTCATTAGTCAAAACAAAATCGAGAATAACCTAAAGTAAGTTTTAACATTAAAATTCACTAGCATAGATGTATGCTTCAACTGATAATGTAATACAAAGAGTAATCTCAGTATAATTGCGTTTTGCCGGTGTTATTATGGTTTTCAATTTTATTTAATCGGAATCAAATGAAATTTGGAAAGAAACCATTTTGTCATTGTTGTATGTAGATTTTGTAGATAGTGGTAGAGCTGTACTTCCAAAAAACATTCGTCAATATAGATAATATACGAATAGCTTACGAATGCATATTATACATCACTACATTATCGTAACTATGCAAACCAAACTCTAGCTTAGAATTAAATTAACGTTATTTATATAATTGTTATCGATGTAATATATACATGTATAAACTAATAAGTAAATTGAAATAACTATGTGTAAATACGAAACGACAAGTAAAATTTGAATTTCCTAGTTTATGACGAAATTTTAATGTTTTATAATTTTTTTTAATTTGCTTCACTCGTATTACTCAAGCTCACTTATCCGACCCTGTCTGTAGTTTCTAAATTTTAATCACTTGATTTCGAGTCCAAACGGCATCTTCGGGTCTTTTTATTTAAACTAGAGTCTCCGAATATACTTTAATAAATTTTATTTTCATTTGTAACTTATAGCAAGAAATATTTGTTTATATTTCCAAATGGTTTCATGTTTAATAAATATCCAGAATAACTACACCGATTATATAATAAACCTACACCGATTATATAATAAAATTACACCGATAAATAATTACTTAATATATATTAAGTAATAAAAACCCTAATGCTTATTGCATTAGGGTTTTTATTACTTAATATTTTTTCCATTAAACTATATGAATATTATATTTACAAGTTATATTTTAAAAGACAAAATACGATGATCTAATAAATATTCCGGCGGACATCAAGATACAAAAATTTCTACGCTATATGTTTTAAACATTTTACATCCTACCGTCTCCCGCCATTGGAAATTTGGAATGTTAGATAAAGTACCTACATTTTTTTTGTACAAGCAGCGCTTGATATTCTGATAAATTGTACACAACCTTAATTACTAAACAGTTCACATTTTTTATCATAATGAGTAGATATTACAAAAACGTTATTTTATGTGGCGAGATTGATTACTTTTGCCTTCTTTGCGAAGAACCTTTTGAATTTCCTGAGCAAGTAGAAAAGCACATCCGATGGGAACAACATAGAAAAAACATGAAAGGACTTTCATACAATTCAAAATACAAAAAGGATTTTATTTATAAGGTAACAAATAATTGCATTTATGTCTTTAGATATAAAATTCAAAGATTGACAGTCGTTATCGTCAACGGTTTTGATTAGTCGATAAGAACAAACGGCCGTAGATACGTAAATATTTCAATCAACCTAACTATCAATAAATTATTTAATTTGCGAAAATTAATCTGTCAGAATATTGTTGTTAAGTGAAGCATTATCACTAGGCGTTTAAAACTTGACTTCTTCTGACTGGGTATAACATAATGATATAAATTAATGAGGTGCGGTGAACACTCAGATCAGTAGTCTTCTTACATTTTCTTCCCCACGACCAATTTCTAACATAGAATGACCCCCATTTTCTTCACCTGACCATACCATCGCAGCCTATTTCCCTTTTTTAATTTATCTAGCCTGGTCTCCCAAAGATCCATCTCAAAGTCTACATTTAAGCGATTTGGATGGTTTCGCTTTTTAAATTGAGTACCAGTGAAATAAATTGAAATGATTATACTTCTCACCATTTTAGCCGCGCTGCAGCTATTCGGTGCTGAAAATATTAAGTCATTAAAACCGAATTTCTAAAATAAACAAATTTTATATTAATTCACGTCTTTGAATGTAGCCATTAAAGACTAACAATAAAAACACTGAACTAACAAACGAATATTAATAATTGATAATTGCCGCCTATTTGAAAATCAGCGCCTAAATTCAAGTCTTGTTTAACTATTACTTCTGTGCTGTAAGAGCGCTTCTTTAATTGTACGCGGGAGTACTTGATTCTTCCCCTTTTCAGATCAGCGATTACTTCTACTGCGAGATTTGTAACTATGTCACGGATTTGGCCTCGGTCACCAACCACGTAAAAGACTATAAGCATTTGTTTCGCAAGACCAACCCCACCAACTCGATTAACAGTAATAACGTGACCCGCAAGAGAAACGGCTTGGTCAATTACCACGGGATGACCATGACCAAATTCCAATGGCACGGTATCGTTGATAATCATTGCGTGCTTTGCAACGTTCCAATACAGGACGCTGAGCACATCAAACGATCCGATCATATGGTAGCTTTGGTCCAATCTAGAATGATGGTCAACGATGACTTGCAATATATAAGAAAGGTAAGGGGCCTTTAGATAAAGTAAACATGTAAATTTTTGATGGTTTTACCTTTTCGTAAATTTCAGATCAATAACTACACGATGTACTGTTTTACTTGCCAAAAGTTCTTCGACAAGAATTCGACGCATAGTCATGACATTGCCGATAAGACAAAAAGCTCCATAGAAGAATGTGATAGAGCGCAAGGAGACGAACTGAAAAAAGCTATCGTTAACAAATTGTTAACGCCGGCAGACGAGGAGAACAAACTGTACAACGCTCTGATAAAGAAGGAGAGAAAATACTTTTACATCGATCTGGAGAACGGCATAGCGAGGTGCTTCCAGTGCAAAAGTCCTGTAAGGAAGGTGACGCTTGATAACCTGATGGCTCACAGAAAGGCTCACAGCGCCGAGAATGACGATAGCGATTCAAGCAACGACTCCTGCGTATACGCCGAAATTGTTGACCACGGCAAACGGAGAGCAGCTATAGCGCAGTACGGGAAGAGGCATTTCGTCAAACTGAACCAAGGCGGCAGCAAGGGCTATTGCTCCATTTGCGACGTCTATATCTCCGCGCATTTGAGTATGGTGAAGCAGCACGTTAGGGGCGCTCGCCATCAGGGCATTCTGTTCGCGAAAACCCTCAAGAAGGGTGTGCATCAAGATAACCGCATATGGTATAAGCCGATGAAGAAATCCCTCCACGTTTACTTGAGGCAGATACTTTTCACTGGCAAATCACAAGTGGTCTGCATGAATAACAGCATATGCGTGGACGTATTCAGCTTCATGCTTATATTACCGATAGGTGATGACAAAATAAAATGTTTCACGTGCAACGAGATATATAAAAGTACGGAAATCTGCCAGCACTGCAATACTGATTTGCATATGAATAAATTAGTAGGTGCTTCTGTAATGGACATTGATTACGATTCGGAACTGGCCGATGAGTTTGTACGGGAGGTAAGGGAGTAATTACAAAAAGTGATTTATATCACTATTTTTTTTTATTATTTATATCACTACATAGTATAAAACAAAGTCATCCCGCTCTGTCTGTCTAGATCTTTGAAACTACGCAACGGATTTTGATGCGGTTCTTTAATAGATAGAGTGATTCAGGGGGTTTATATGTATACATAATATATAATATAATAGAGAAACACTGATAATTTTCGAGGTTTCTAATGAGATGTTGAAAACAAACATACAGCATTGCACCCTTGCGAAACCGCGGCGGGTCGCTAGTACAAAATAGAACATTTAAGAGTTCCTAGTAACAAATAGTACAGTACCAGGCGATGAATATTGCACATCACCTTTTGGAAAATGACAATTGGTTTCGTAGACGGTTATTTTTGGCACACACAGCCCATGTGCTGATGATGTAAAGTTTGTCGGTCGTTGTAGCCTCATTGAGTTAAACGCCTGCATTGAATTTAAAGCAAGTCCCCGATCATAGCCAGATTTCAGATATTTAAAAGAACTCTTTGATCATAGCTTCCACGGCTCTACGGAGCTATCATGTTTATGATTAATTTTAATTCCCGATGGTTCGCAGCATTCGTGTTCACAAGAATGGACTGATAGTGATGATTTAGAGTATAAAGTTTAGATGTCCGAATGTTTTCCTCCATGTCACTCTATCTTCGGTGTTCAAATTTAATAATTTTGCGTTTGAAACGGGAATTAAAAATAATAGCGAAAAATCTATAAAAATGGTTCTATTTAATTATTACGTTTAGCTTGTTTGGCAATATCCAATGTTCAATTATTTCTTTACCCCCATAATATGATAACCACACAAGTCACAATTTTTTCTTAGAATGTCCTCTAGATTTTATTAAAATTTTTCCATTATTTTTTTTTCCAAAAATAGAATAATTCTAATCAACGCTTGAAAATAAACTAAGTTATTAAAATTATATTGATAATGATTCTGTTCTTAACTGAAACATTGAGAATAAAATAGTTCAGTTAAACATTTGGTCTTGGTGGGTTTATCTTTTCATAAAACAATTTTTTTGTAGTTATTTTTAAATTTGAATCTTACTAGAATACAGAGATACATTATATTTGCTTGTAAATAACAATTTCTTACAGCCCACCACTGTTCCCTGTTGTTTATACTGGATTATATTTCTCATTTTTTTTATTACACTTTTCTTATATTTTAGGTGCAACCAAATCTATACCATTGTGGTTTCTGTAACAAATTGATCCCATATTGGGATGAAACGCACCTTCATTTGAAAAGTTGGAAACACATAGAAGTTAGAAAGTGTAAAGAGTTGGTGTACAGAGCATCTCAGGAAAATTCTAATCAGTTATCAACATTTGTTGGAAGCAAAAATAGGGCCGCCCTGTTAAAGAAACTAAAAAATATTTGCATTTTATCATGTGTTAAAAACTAATTTCTTTTCTTTTGAATGAAACCGCTTTATTTTTTTGTTTGTTTTTGATTTTCATTAATAAAATAGCATTAAAAATAGATCCAGAAATACTTTTATTAAAAAAATGAATGCTTACAAAACTACATATGCTCATTTTACATTTACATTTTATGATACCAAACTAATCACTAGGTGAACTTAATGATCAGCCATGATTGACCATTGAGCTTAATTGTATGTTGTGTTATTGGCTAAAAAAACAATGTAAGGCTGTTCAAATAATTATGTTACATACAATACGCAAATTTACAAAACTTTTACAATGTTTTATTCATTTTACTTAAGTATATTCATTGTTTGCACATTTGTTTTCTTTGAAAAAGGAGTAACGTCAGCAAGTCTGCCGATTGGAATTAATTTTTTTGTTATTTTGAACAATACTTAGGATTATAATATATTTCAAACCATTTAGGAAAATGAGATAATAACATGATGAAATCATTTTCTTGATTACTTTGTAATAATCTTAAATATTTAATCGTATTTTTAATATAAACGTCTCTTAAAGATTGAGGCAAATCCTCTTCATTAAAATCTAAAAGTAGAACTATGTGGTTCATATGAGTTTGATACAAAACAGAAAATGTTCTATATAAACAGTTGGACTTCACCAGAGAAACAAACATTGATACAAAATTTCTAATGCTTAAATTGCATCTGGTAGTTATTAAAATAAAATTGAGTATTTTACAGCAAATTTGGTAGCACTTTGGTGATGATGATGATATTTTAATAAGTTGTTGTAAAAAATTACAACCAGAAAATAAATCACTTATATTGCTGTCATTATTTACTATCAAATTATAACAGAGTTCTAACAACAATTTTTCAATTTCTGGTACCATTTTTATTGAAATTGAATCTAGCATTTTAGTTTTTTTTAAACATTCATCTTTTCTGATTAACTCTTTCATGATGCAAATATATTTGATGTCTTTGCCATTCCAATGAATAACATCTTTTTCTATTTTGTCAAATAATATCTTTTGTTCAAGGTTAATAAGTGACAGTATAACATCCGGGTTAGTTTCAGATTTGTAATTTGAATTTGAATTGGAATCTTCTATTCTTTCTAAAAGAAATGCATCCAAATCCTTTTTCACAAAGTCTTCAGCACCGATTTTATTTTCATCACTATAGTTGTTACAGTAAAATTTTGTGAGTAGTTCTGTTAAATCTTCATCATCTTTGTTATGGTTGATTGGCTCAACTTGGCATATTTTTCGTATATTTTCTAATATTGAATGTCGAAGTTTGATATTGATTTTTGAATTTTGTTGCGTTATATTAAGAATATTTATAAAACTTTTAGACATAGCTATTGCTACATTTCTATCAAGCAATGAATTTTCAAAAGCAAATTCTGGACAATTTTCATTGTTTGATTTTATTACTTTTTCAATCAATTGATTATTCATAACTTATTTCGAATATTATTTTAATTGAATTCCGCTTCAAACAGTTTGGGCTTAGAAATCGCAAGTCATAATATAATGAAAACGTAATTATAGCAAATAGTAGGTTTACATGCAACAATTTATAAATATTATATGATATCTCCGTCAGTTGTTTTAATTAATAGATATTGATACTGTTTATTTTATTTATAATTTTTAAATGAATGAATCTAACGTCAGATTTCACTCCACCAAATTGTCAGATGACATTTGATTTGAATTTGATATAATTTGTCAACTGACTGACAATTGAGTGTTGATTTAACTATACATAACTTGATATATATAGCCAATGTCCAAATCAAATATTATTTTCTATTTCATCGTCTGTCCTAAAATAATAGAAATAGATACATGTTACCCTTTTTTCTTTATAGCCAACTTAGCTGATAATTTAAACTTTTTGGATAAATTAGCGGAATTGTCAAATAAGTTTAAATGTATTTTTTATTACTTATTTTATGAATAAAAATCGAATTAGTAAACAAAAGAACCATATACCACAAGTACATTTATGCAGTAATCTGCCATCTAGTGATGAAAAGCTAATAATCCATTCGCTATATCTTGTTTCAATTTCAAGTTTCTGTCACATATATATCATTTTGATGATAAATAAGAGAAAAAATATTTTATTTTATTAGCTAATCGTAATATATTTGAACGAATATAAATAGTCTCCATAAAAATTCGAATATACGTCGAAATAAAGATTAGTCACGGCATCTAGTGTAGTCTAGCAAAATTCTGAAAAGAAACAGTTTACATAACGGTTTCTTTACAGGAATGACAAAAGATGGCGCGTCATCAACTTTTGTAGTAAGGTATAAATTTCCTTAAGTAAAGTAACAGCCTGTACATGTCCCACTGCTGGGCAAAGGCCTCCTCTATACAGAGGGTATCAGGGCATAGTCCACCACGCGGCCCCACTGCGGATTGGCGGACTTCACATATCTTGGAAATTTTTTTTTTGTTATTATTTCGAAAATATGCAGGTTTCCTCACGATGTTTTCCTTCACCGCGGAGCACGTGATAAGTCAGCACTTAAAGTGAAAAACTTCATTGGTGCCGGCACCGGGGATCGAACTCAGGTTGCTCGAGTATATTGAATTAGAGGCGAGCGTCCGGACACTGCTATCAAATTTCCTCATTTTTGAAAATTAAAAAAGTAAATAAAATATGCAAACTGGCAGCTACTTATTAAAATTTCGGTATGATGATGATGGGAAAATATTTATTCAAAAGGTCAACCGGACACATTTTGCTTTTACACAATATGTTTTATTTTCAAGATAAAACATATTACGAAATACGTAGTTACATGATTTCGTGTTAGAAAAGTTTTATTTAAAACAGAAAATGGAAATCGCTTTAACAAACTCAAAGATATAAAAAATTGTATAAATGATGCTTTTGCCATAAATACATATATATTCCACACTGCCGCTACTTTAAGCTTTCGACGCATATACATCAATTGTTAATATTTCTGTTTGCGCGCCCAACTAGGTCTTAATTTAGGTACTGTTGTCTAAAGGTTTTTTTTACCTTTTTTCATCAATTATCTAGATTGGATACGCAGGATATATTTCACGTTGTCTGTCTACTTAGTTATGTTTATTTTAACCAAATACTTAAGGATGGATCGACGACGTTTTTCATGTGATTATCTGTATAGGTTTTATTAGTAATTTGTATGTGTTACACCGCGTACTTTACTTTATATATACTTACCTAAATATTTTGTCGTTTGTCGACCTACCTTGTTAAACAATAAGTAGGTACAGTTCAAGCGAGTGTTCATATACCATATTTTTAATTTATTATTAGAGGTGTTTTTTTTTTAATTTAAATCATATTTAAAACGATTAAGTACCATTTTTTAGAATGCGCAAGGTAATGTTGTACCGCCCTTCGAGTAATTGACTTTACTTATTTTTAATTCCTCCTTTAGTCGGTCAAGAAGCGTTAAAGAAAAATTAATTCATATCACAGAAATGAACTTTGGTGGTGTATTCTTATTCTAAACTTTAAACCACAAAGATCTCTAGATAATATAAATAATTCACGGCGGAGTCAGGCTGACCTGAATGCAAAATTTATTTAAAATGAAAAGAAATTGGCAGAGTTCTAAGAGCTTTCTCTATTGGCGAAAATCAATAGTAATCAGTTTCGCTAGAATATAGTCAACTGAGAATCGTTTTGCTTTAGACCATGCTAAAAGTCTATGCCATGCTAAAATCACAGCAGCATTAGAGCATTCTATCTAAATTCACCCACTCTGACGGCGGGAATACTTAAAAAACTCAGAGTCGCTCCGAGGGAAATAAAAGACCTGTGCTCGTCTTCAGGATCCCAAATGAAAAACCAAGGGAGAATTGTACCCGACGCAGTTTCTCGAAGCTTTCGTCTGAATGGGCGATGGACTGGTGAAGTTTGCGTAGAAGTGACGTTCGAATAAAGTGTTTCCGATGACCACGTTTAGATATGCGTAGAGTAGCTCTTTACCTATATCTTGGCAAGGCACTGTTTGAAACTTGATCCATGTAGCCAATGATAGCTATCTGGTTCTAGGAGACTCAAGTTTAGCAGTGGAATGCCACAGGCAGATTAAATTATATTGGCAATTACGTTTCGTATTCCTATGTATTTTATATATGACCTTATAAACGTGATGTTTGAATTAATTAGTATAAGTTTTACATATATACACATAACTCTGATTCTCGTAAATTGCTGTACCTTTAAGTCTTCAATAATTACAAGAAGAAACTAGGTCCTACCGCTAGCCATGACTATTATAATAACACTTGCAACCTTGACTATTTTTAGCAACGGAGCATTATATTAGGTTAATAATAAAATTTAAAAGCTATAAATCATGGTTATTGCATGAAATAATTCATTAAAGACGATGAATATTAATGACCTGCCTTTGGACAAAACGTTTTAGGTTAGACTTATAAATTTGTCGTAAATATGGAACGTGATATCCGTTATTTATAGCCATTATAAAACGTCTATTTAGCGACCAGTAGATGTATTTCGCACAAATGAATATTAAGCGTAAGAAAGTGTTCCGAAATTTAATACTTTATCGATCACCTGGTATACTATTTGCGGTGATAAATTCACCTAAGAAAGTAACTTATACTTAAGGGGCCATAAAGAAACTGAAAACTTCGTGAGTGAACACCGTTCTCGACACCAGCTCAAAAAACTTCTCAATAGAACATTCTGGTGTTTTAATTGGCATGAATTGGTTACGGGAGAACGTGAAAAGGTCCCCAGTAACATCATACGGCCGATCGCTCTAAATGGATGCTACGTTCCGAAATTCAGAATTTGTGGGGCCCCGGTTAATAAATTACCATCAAGACCTCACATAGAGGGCTAAATACGTAGGCCAAGCGAGGCTAAGCCCCGCCCATAAAGCGAGAGCGGCAATATCGTCGTACTTGTCTACCGCACACGAAACTCGAATCCCATGCAGTTGTCTCCTATAATATGCAACGTGAAATGTCTGTTTATAATCGTAACATTTCACAGTTTTCACTTTACCATTCATTAACTTAGAATGGAGTTATTCAATTTACTAATCCCAAGTTTTGGTGCGTTGTTATAAACTAAATCATTTTGGCAGATCAGTTGTGTAAAATCAAATCATTAAAACGCTAAGTTGGTATTAAAACGTAAATCATCAATTAGAATCATCAAACATTAAGTATATGATACTTTAAAAAAATTACAAAAATTAAGATATTTTTGTACAACATAGCGTTATCGAATACGTTTTTTGTGAGGTTAATAATATTTAAAAATTTAAAAATAGTCTATATGTTGGTGCTACTGTAAACTCTTATATGACATTTTTCCCCACTGAAAATGTTGACTGGGAAATGACTACCAATTAACGGTTTCCTGATAGTAATCAATATGAAAAGTTAGATCTTGTCTAATCATTTATTGAAATTTATGTTTTAACTATACCACAAAATGTTACAAAATATTATATTAAGTATATGAAAAACTTATAATTAGATTTAATTCGACTTTTTATTATATTAAAAAAAAACTTTGTGGCGCAAAAGTCCGTTAAAACAGCCAGTGCAGTAAAACCGTACGAATTTTGCTGTTGCAGACATCGTTGAACAAATCTGTCTTACCATTACGTAGGTTTGAAATTTACCGTAGCTACCGGGGACCTCTCTTCGGAATCTTGTATACTCTCCGCTTCGATGCATTAATTCACTAGAACTAATATTTTGGCATAAGAAAAACAGGTAATGTCTAATCTTGCTTCTTTTTTTGAGACTTCATTCGCAACAGGCTAACAGTTTTTTAGATAGTTCACGATGGAGACAATTTTCTCACAGTATCCGGTTCTTTTCTCAGTCAGCTGATTATGACTCAAAAATGTGATTTTTTAATGCTATTAATTAATACTTAAAATCGCTGTACACTGAAAATTCCCAAATGAGTTGATGGATCCAAAGTAATATGGATAGAAGTCTGGCAAATTCTCTTCTTTAAGTTTTAAATGAAAAAAAAAAAAAGAAAAAAACTGCTATTCGCCCGTAAGAAATCCACCAAGAACTGCCTACTTCTACAAGACACGGGTTCGAATTCGCAACCTTGGGTACCAGTCAACGCTGCTGTCGCCCGTTATTCGCCAAAACTATTATATTATATTTTATCGCTTTCAATGTAAATAAAATTAAATCCAATTTGATTTGATATCCACACTATAGAAAATTATAAAAAAATAAAAAACGGAATCCAACGATATTAATAATCTGTGTATTAATAATCTGGGTATTGCACTAAAAGAAACATTGACTATAATTATGATATATCCAAAGCGGTATTTGAAAGGGCGGTGCGATGTTGTTTTATTTAATTTTAAAAAAGTGCTAATTTTCTGTAACTCGCTTGAAAGCTTTTATTCACGTATAGAGTGCATGCGCTAGTCAGTGGTACTGGCGTTCATTGTCGTGATGAAGATGGAAACTGAAATCGAACACGTTATTTAAATGCTGAGAAATGTTTATGATAAAAGTACAGTAGGAATTCCGTGCGATTCATAATTACAAAGTTTTTACCATTGCGCAGGTTTTGTTATGATTTTCGTGAAGTTTCAATATTTATCTTGTCCAAAGTAGCAAATGTCTCTTTTGTTTTTATTCAAACTCTGTTAATGCACCATTTACGGTCTGGTGTTGACGAATGACAATTTTTTTTCTTCATTAATAGCCCGTGATTTATCCCGTTCAAACAATGACACCAAAAAGCTCCTTGGATGTGACACAATGGTATATTAGTGGATTTATCGTTCAAATGAGTGATTTTTTGGCTGTACTAATATGTAATTTTTTTATTTTCTTATTTATTATAAACTCTATACATATAGCTATACCAAAATAGCAGTGTTATAAAATGTTTCGTGTCGTTTTTCTTGTTTAAGAGTTTTTCTTTAATTTAATACCAAGTTACTTCTTTTAGCTTGCTTTCATTCTATGTTAAAACCCTGGAAAATTTTTTCTGGAAATTCCAACGGGCTTATTTACGGCCTCATATAATTTTGTACATATACATTTGCACAGGCTGTCACTCCACTTAGTGGGGGTATGATTTTCTCTAAGATGTTTTAGATATAGAACTCGGCGGCCAACATTTTGCTGAGACCGATAAAACGTAACACAGCTCCTGACTGGAAACCATAACGTCATCCAATAAGGCTAAAGTCTTTATCGATTAAAAGATTTGGGCTATTTTATTACCACTGTGGCAGAATGAAGCGGTAGTTCCACCCACAGGAATAAACCAGCTCGGCTAGGAATGTACCAACCTCAAAATATATTTGTAAAGTTTAGGGACGTTTCATCGGTGGGCTAATGCTTTCAAAGATTGGCTGCGCACGCGAAGCTTATCCAGTGCGGCAGGTCCGGACTCATGTAGGTAGGTATCAGGTGATTCGCTCGCTCTTTCGCAACCACTCAAAAACGCCGCGCATCAATCGGGGTCAGCTAAACAGCTTAACGGTACACTAAAATCTCACCGGCAACGACGCGTCCGGATGATTGATCGCCTCTACCCGGACGACGTGACTGCGCCGAGGCCCCCATTACAAACCGCCATCAGACAAAACTCGGCGCGGTCCGCGATGGCTGAAAGCGTGCGAAAGGCGGCGTCCCGCGCACGCGTTCGGCTGCCCGCGGACTTCGCGGTTAAAAGTCGCCGCGTCTCTGCCGCGTCGATTTTTTTTTTGTTAAAAAAGTAACGCACTGGCCAGCGACTGGTATATCAGCTAATAGATTAAGAAATCAGAATGGGAGTTGCTTTTTTTTAATTTCTTGTTTTAACCGACCAACGTATATTCAAGATACAGTGCCATCCAACTTTGTGCTGTGTTTAAATTTTCAAGTTGCTTACTTATAGTTTAGCATCTATAATATGTTTTAAACGAACAAACAGACAGAGAGATATGAAAGCTAGTAATGTCATTCAGTTCTAAATGCTTAATTAAATTATCAAGTTTGCTCTTAAAATCCATAAAAAAATCTGCAACGAGAGAACAACAACAACAATTAATATTTCTCCAACTAATATAAGCCCTCATCAGGAAGTTGATTTATAATCAATAACACAAATTGTAAACTAATAAAGCAAATATTGCATGGTCTTGTTTCATTCCATGCATTGTTCTAAGCTCTGTGTAAAATTTTAAGTCCCTACTCCATCTGGAGGCTATTAAGATAATTTAAAAGAAATCAAACAAGGCTTCTAGTACTGAGTTAAGATTGAACTGTCAAATCTCCAATTCTACGGGGGCTTGGCTTACAGAGGCGAGTTGATAAAAAGATCTGGAGGCTATTAAGATGATTCAAAACAATCAAACAGGGCTTCTAGTTCTGAGTTACGATTGAACTATCAAATCTTCAACTCTTCGGGGGCTTGGATTACAGAGGCGAATTGACAAAAAGCTCTGGAAGCTATTAAGATGATTCAAAACAATCAAACAGGGCTTCTAGTTCTGAGTTACGATTTAACCATCAAATCTCCAACTCTTCGGAGGCTTGGTTTACAGAAGCAAATTACCAAAAGATTGCGTCCGGAGCGTTCGCCCGCAAGTGAGATGGGCAGCCGTAGTCACCGTTGATTGTCTACGCTGCGGTGACGCAACGCGACGTGACCGACACGGTTGCGTTGCGATAAATATTAGGTGGCGGGCTTTTAGCTTCGCGATGATTCCCAACCCCCGCTGCTATCTCATATTGCGTACGCAAATCGCATTAGAAAGCGTTGAGTGACTTAAAGCGCCTTAGTCTCCCATAAGCCAGTGGGGACTACAGTACTGTCTTCCTATGTGGTGTCTGACGAAATTGAACATACTGTAGTAACTGTAAGCGTTTTTTTTATGCGAGAAGGTGGCAAGAGAGCCGGCGGCTCTCCTGATGTTAAGTGATAACCGCCGCCAATGGACATTTTCAACACCCGTAGGGATGCAGATTCGTTGCCATCTACTAATAAATAAGGCCCCGGTTACCCTACTCATCAGAAGAATCGCAGAAGTATAAAACTTTTACTTCACGCCGGTCTCAACGCCGGTCGAAGATTGTTGCATGGCCCTACCACATCTAACAAAGACAATGACAATTCTTCACCCGTTTTTAAATAAATTGTCATCTGGACTCCTTGGTAATTAACAAGTTAATTTATTTATTCGATAGTTTACCCGTTCAAAGTGAACTATTTTATAATAGCCGCTTTTATCAATAACAATAATAATATTAGTTAGTAAAATTTGTGTTTGTGTGAATGTATTCTCTTTAACGTCTGAAACTACTGAAACTGACATTTAGAAAATCTTAACTATCGAAAACCTATTTTATTATCCTAATTAAAATTAGGTATATCTATAAGAAGGAAGACGAAAGTTTTTTTTTTTTTTCAAAATTTTTTCTGGCCTGCACTTGACTGCGGTCCCACCTGATGGTAAGTGGCGATGCAGCCGTTGATGGTAAGCGCGCTAGCTCAGTAGAAACCTATTCACTCTTGCCTTCAAGACGCCATCGTTGTAATCGGACGGAAAGACGGACGCCGGCAGGTTAATCCATTCCTTGGCTGTACGGATGATAAATGAAGAAGCGAATCGCTTAAAGTTAACGAAAGGAATCAATAGAAGGAGCTGAAATGCTGACATACATATTTCTGGTGGAAGCAGCATCTGGTAATGTTTCAGGCGAGAAGGTGGCAAACTAGCTGGCGGTTCACGTGATTTTAAGTTATAACTGACGCCCATCGACACTAGACACACATGTAGGGATGCAGATATGAGTTGCCACCTTTTAATAAAGTGCACCCCCGGCTACCTCACTTACCAGGCGAAACGCAGAAGCATAATACTTCCCGCCCATGTTCGCTGAGACACTACCTCAATACAAAGTAAAATCGACTAATGAGGTAGCCGGGGTTCACCAGACGAAACGCGGAGTCAGAGATAAGGCTAAATGGCGAACTTTAAGAAAGGCCATGTCCAACCGAAGGCCGCTACGGTCAGGGATGAAGAGAAGACTCCTTAAGGAACAATATGACTTGAGGTTCATGTTCGAGCTAAAATTTGTATTTTAAAAGAGGTACAAATACACGGATGTACACGGATACACAGATGCACGACGGGTCGAAAAACACGCGAGTTTTATTTAATATACGTATGAGCATTATAGGGTAATGAAACTTTTGGTTATTAGTAAAAGCGTTAGTAAATTTTGTCGGGACAAAACAGAGATTACCAACTGATATACAGATAATCAAATCAATTTTAGTTAGTTACAGTATTAGCCCTTGACCGATCTCATCACTCTGCGTATCTAAGAACTTTATCGATTACCATAATCGCAGCGAATCTACTGACGCGTTGAAATTATGACGAAATTATGTTGAAACAGTAGACGTCCTCTCTTTTCGTAATGGTCTTTAGTCGAAAATGGATTCGAAGTTTTTCGAAATTCTACCATACGGTGAGCGACTTCAAAGTATAAATAAAGGACGAATGCTATCTCAGTTTTAAGTATGCTTCGATAAAGAAAAACACGAATGGACAAGCAATACTGAACAGTAGATCCTAAATCATAATAGAAATTGGACCATGAAACCCTTCAGGACCACAATGTTGAATTTGCAAAATGTTGAATTCCTAATATAAATCTAATATAAATCGATCTATTTGAATTTAGAATAAGCTATGAACGAGTAAACTTTTAAATAAAATAGTTTTTCAACATACGAAATTCATTGTGATTTTATTCGTATTTCGAAAAAAGACGATCGAGCGTCCGACACCAAATGATTTGGATTATTATTTTTCCCGATTTTGGAAATTAAAATAAAAATTAAAAAAGTATTATTTTAATTAATCCATTGTGATCGAACATTTTTGGGCATAAAGAACAAATGCCATTTTGATTTCTTGAAGAAAAAAAAAAAACAAAATTCGCCTCATGACATCGGATCGTTTATTCGCCGCTTCCCGGTGATTAATCGACCTCAAGCGGGGCTATAGTGTGTGTACGAATTGATGCAATTTTAATACGGTCCCCATCGATTACACGTAGCGGGTATCGGGAGGATTTATTGCGAACACGACGGCAAAAAGTCCGCCGTGTTGAGGCGACGCGCCTTTCCCAGTTAAGTCTCGTTATGGGAGTTCCGTACGTGGGAGGGAGACGGGGTACGGCCACGCTGGGTGGCCAACAGCTCGCGTCTGCAGTAATGACCGCTAGGGTTGTGCCAGTGCAAGCTTAATATCGACACTACGTCAACAAGGACCAAAAAGCCTTAAAAGTTTCACTGTGGCAAAGCACCAACAGCTTAGATGACTCGATGGCGCAGCTAAGTGGTCAGTTCGATTCGGAACAAGTATTTATGTGACCAACAGATAATTTTTCCGGATCTGGGTATTTATTTCCAAGGAGAGTTGCCGATAGCCAGGTGGCCGGTATAAAAAACCTAGCCAATACCACAAACAACATGCTTAGATATTTGATTGACAGCTTATATATTTCAAAAATTGTTGCACAGATACAGACAGACAAAACAGATGATGTACGAAAACGAAACCAGTACCTCTATATGAATAAGTACCTACTTACGATTAGTATGGATTAACATAGTGGATTCCCAAATCATATCTTGATTTGCATACATATTTTTTGCAAACATTGTTCCTTCAATATTATTATTATTATTATTAAATATTACATTTCAGGACACAGTTTTACATAATTTCCTCTAGTTCTAAACTACGAAAAGCTTGTACTATCGGTACTAGATATCTGCTAAACATACTTAAATGTCCTTTTATATAGTTATAAATAAATACATATTACAAGCATATTAGCACGCAAATACTGAGAAAACACTATGTTCATGTCACAATATTTTTAGGGTGGATCCAGTAGAGGGGATGGAACCCACACCCTCTGGCCCAAGGGGCAGGTTCACAAACCACTAGGTTAAACGGGTCATCAATGAAATGAATATTTCATCGATGAAAGCATCGTTACCGTCGGCACGTCACTATCGCGGACCAAACAATGATCTATTATTTCGCCGAGCATGCGCGAGATTGGATAGTAATTCTGAGACTATCTCTATATCGGATGAGGTTCTTGCCCATAATTAAGACTTTGATTTTCCGACATTACTTTTAACGTATGGCCGCCCGTGCGGTGTACTGTTGGCGCAAGTACTTTCCCTCCCTACCAAAAGAATTACGTAACTTAAGGAATAATGCAAACAAGTATCAGCATGAAGATAAAAAATGTGTATTTTAAAAATCTCCGCGAAACTAAAACCGAGAAGCCATTACGTTACTTTCTCAGTATTTTGCGAAAAAAATATTCAGCCACTGCGAACTTACCACTGTTGACACAATGATAAAAAAACATAATGTAACAAAATAATATACGGGAAAATGTATGACATTTCAGTCAGTGATACACTGACTAGCATTAAGTATATATATAACGACTAATAAGTATAACGACTTTATGAAGAAACGTCGGCGTAAAAAATTTTATTTACGTGAGAAGATAAGCCTTACAGGCAGTTCACTCAATTACAAGTAATTTATCGGCGTCTACGGGCATCTACAACACCCGTGAGGTGCAAGAGTTGCTGACCATTAAGGTAAGAGCTTCTATAAGCTCTAATAATGAACTTATAGATTATTTTTCGTATACTCAGGTGTTGTGGTCAACGGAGGGCTGCGATCCATAATTAAAAAGACTCCATAGAAATTCATCTTCTCAAAAGACCGCCGTAGAGTAGAAGTGTTTACCGGGACCAACCCTTTGATGACTCCGTGGCGCAGTTGCAGAGGTATTGGCTTCGGCGTCGGGAGTCGTGGGTACGATCCCCACACGGGACAATTATTTGTGTTACCCACAGATAGTTGTTTCGCATCTGGGCGTTTGTCCACTTGAAATTTATGTTTGTAAAACGCCATTACAGCACAGGATAATGTTATCCTAAAGTAAGGGCAATGTTTGAAAAAAATACCGTATTTAAGGTTGCAGCAAAAACTTTAAGCGCTTACCACTATTAGGTACATACAAGCGCGTGCACTCTATACATGAGAAAAAATCATTTTGCATACCCTGTCGTCCTATACCTACATGGGGCATGTAGGTATAGGACGACAGGGTATGTAAAACACTGAAACCCTGATATAACATACAAATACGATATATTAAAACATCATTGCTTAAACCTACACCTTACAGCAGTTATAATTTTTTTTGTAAAAAAAAAACATCTCACAGCCATTTTCAAAGGTCACTTTGGATATCATTTAAGAGACCTGTTAAGTTATAATCAATTGGTAAGTTTTTCAGTGCATACCCTCTCTGAATCTGTGCACGACACTTCGGTAGGATGGTAGTCAAGGAACGGTCAGTTTGTCGAAAAACTGATATAAAGGACTGTATTACTGGCCAGTGTTACGTTTTTTTATACGTGGCAAGGTAGCAAGCGAGCCGGCGGTTCGCCTGATGTTAAGTGATAACAGCCGCCCATGGACTTTAACAACAAATAAATGCATTGCCACCCTTTAATAAAGTGGGCTTCGGAAACCTCACTCACCAAACCAAACGCAGAAGTATAACATTTCCACTTCATGCCGGTCTTCTGTGAGGTCGTGGTACTTCCCCTGCCCATCGTGCAACAGCGAAGACTGTTGCGTTGCCATACCACCATTCGTGCAACAGCGAAGACTGTTGCGTCGCCCTATCACCATTCTTGTAACAGCGAAGACTATTGCGTTGCCCTACCACCATTCGTGCAACAGTGAAGACTGTTGCGTCGTCCTACCACCATTCGTGCAACAGTGAAGACTGTTGCGTCGCCCTACCACCATTCGTGCAACAGCGAAGACTATTGCGTGGCCCTACCACAGCACGTAACACAAGCGTCAGCGATGCGATCCGATGGAAACGGCGCGAGGTATTTAGCTGGCGCGAACGCGGCCGAAATTAAGCTGTCAGGGCGCGCTGTGAATTCCGTTTCCCGCGTTACGTGTAATACCATCGTCCGGCGCTCTCCCGGTAATGACTCCGCCGTGTGCGGCGCGTTTACCGCTCGGACTCGTGAAACGCGCGCCCTCAAAGATGAAATTGAACGCATAACGCGCGGGGTCAAGGCGTCGGGACACGCGACCATTTTTATTTAATTATAAACTGGCCAGCACTTGACCGCCATCCCACCTGATGGTAAGTTGCGATGCAGCCGGTTGCGAGTACCAAAACAGATATCGCTAATGGCCGGGACGGTTGACTTGTTGGTTGCTTTTGTAGGAACTACTCTTTTGGCGCTTCGTAGGACCGGCTGTCGCCAATTGTAGTCAACATGACCTTGAAGAAGACAGTCCATTTTTACTTTAAATGCCTTCAACTTTTTGGCAACCGGTTAATGTGAAGGTGTCAAGGGAGCGGTTCACCTTTTAATGAAGTGTGCCACGGTTATCACTCACAGACACGAAAAAGTATAACACTTCCACATCACGCCGTTCTTCTGCATATTCCTGTGCTAAGTAGGTTTTAATACATAAACTGTATATGGACAAAGACCTGAACCCGAACACTAGTTTGTGAAACCACTATCCTAGGTGGCGTAACCTAAAGCGTAGCGAACTGCGTCATGCAAACCATTAAACTTGGTCGAGTTAATTCATTCCGACGTTTGATACATTATCACGTTTTGTTGGTAAGCTCGAATTTCACCGGCTTCTTCATCGGTCATCAGCTAATCTGTTTAAATGTTATATGTTGTATGGAAAAAATATAACAAACAGATACTTATGGAATGATAATTAAAACGTTCACTCAAATTAAAAAACATTATCTTCATGTAATTGATGTTAACGTCTTCTAATCATTCTCTTTAGTCTTAACTTTGTTGTTATACTTTGTTGTGTTATTTTCTGCATTAATTAATGCCGCAAATTGATAGTATCTTTCACTCTGTATAATTGAAGTACAGTTTTATAATTTGTGCAATTTTTCGATTGAAATTACATACACGCTCCTGTACATCAGAAAATAAAATTATGCTTCATTTTGACGGAAAAGTAACGGCTTGCTACTAATTGTATGGACCACGATAGTTCATTTAGCTTAATTTTACGGTGGTTTTGGGTAGGTTGGAGAATTGGTGAATCATTGGTGCAATTGGATCATTCACTTCCCTTAACGGATGTTTACATTATATTAACAAAGACATTTAATAAACTAACAAGGAATGGCTAAGCTAGCCCTTAAATCAGTAATACAGCAATGGTCCTCAATGTTCTCTTTGTTATGGTAAAAGACGTGAGTGTGGCCGCTCACAAAAGGAAACGAGGAGCGATTCGAACTATCCAATTTTCCCCCTAATTGGTCGAGAAAGCACGATTGTCAACATCGTTAACTCGTCTTTTCCTCAACTTTCCTTTTCCCAGTACCTACACAATGAGTGTCCGTTCAGCGTCCATGCTAAGATGCAATCCCAACACGCCTCAACTTAAGTACAAAAATTAACGTAACTCCTGGTTATACGGCTTTCGAGTATGGAGTTGTATAAAATGAAATTCGTTAGCTGTTGGTTTCGTCTACGTCAATCGAAACCAGCACACTTAAAAAGCTTAAGCAGATAATCAAAATCTTATCTCCCAAGGTTTTCTTCCTTTGAATATCATATTTCGTTTAATTTCAAGTAATGTTACGTTGGTTGCTGCTGTTGGTTACTTAAGTGTCGAGAATAATAAGTAATTCTTCCTTGTTAATGGCGTTCAACTAAGGAATTCGCGATTATTCTATGCATTGTTCTTGTTCCATACAGCGAAGACTTAAGATTTGTAAAGAATGAAAGAAAAAATGAAACTTATTACAGATTTGGCAATTTACAAAAGCTAACGAACTGCTTAGAACGGAATGAATTTCGTTGTTTTTATAATATCATTTAAAATAAACTTTAGAACAACATCAAGCGCAAAACCCTGTCAACTGTCTAAGCTAACAATATGTCATTGTTCATCGTCACACACCCGCACACATGTCATCGATAATCACGGGCCAGTTTAAATCAATCTGAATCAGCCTCCGCGGCCGCTGGCACGTCGAAACGGAATGGACCAATTCGTCCGCTCTCCGTGCGGTCCCTCATTTAGAGGCGCAATAAAATCTCTTTTTGACATATCCGTGGCAAAATCCCTAACTGATATGACCCTTTACTCTGCTAAGGTGTTAAGAAAACTGCGACATCGCGACGCGATACAGACTCTATGTCGTAGGCGACACGGTGCACTTTCGTTCGGCGGACAGAGCTCGTTTATTAGACTACAAAGAAACCGCTCGTCGCGGCGGCGCCTTTGAAGCGGCCGCCTGTAATTACGTAAGACCGAGTGTAGAACGCATTGGCTTTCGGTTAACGTTGGCGTATGTAAACTTACTAGAGCCACATATCAAATCAAACATCCGAGTTGACTGGCTTCCCTAACCGTGGTTTATAGTATTGCAGTTTGTGAAGCTGTTCAAAAGACTTCAGATACGGTTTACGAAAACATACCTTGCTATGGAGCTAATATATAGTAATTATAGATTTATCACATGCAGAGCTAAGTTGAAGTTATACTCTGAAATTAAGTCAAGAAATCATTAAATCATCATTAATTTAAAATAAATTGCAAATGGAAACAGTGAATTTGGAGCCCTACAGCAAATTGAAACTCTGTAATTTCAAAGTCGATACTTTGTGTGCAGAATGTAAAAAAACGTTGTCTTTTCATTCTTACAAAGAGCGACTACATGACTTTGGTAGCATTACGTCCAGCTGCGTTGTATCACAATTTAAATTCGTGGTTTCAAAGCGAAAAGCCCAGGGGTTGATCTATTTTGTACTGCTATTCTTGTGCAGGAGCTAACTGATATTTTTAACGTGTTTAAAATGATATCGTAAGTAGAAAGTTTTTTGACGTCGATTCATTGCTTTAAAATCAAAAGATTCTTAAAGACTAAACGTAATACAATATCGTATAAACTTTTCGGAAAAGTGACTAATACTGCTGTAGAGATGAAACGATATCAAAACTCCAAACAACAGATTATAAAAAAGCGTGGCGCCTGGCGCGCGAGCGGTCATTAAGGAAATCCATAAAACCAACACATAAAAAAAGATGAAGATTCTCCATTGCGCCAAAACCAACTTAATTAACTTAATGCGAGGTTATTTAGCAAAAGTACTTACGGGCCGGGGATATTTCGCAATCAGATGTTTCTGTAAGTAATTAAAAGCATTGTCATTATCGTGTGACGAATTAACTACAGGATTTGAGTACGGGCGGGCGCTCGGTGGGGCGGTGGGCGGTTCCTCGCAACATCAAAGGAGCCGCCGACATCATAAAGGGACTTCGCCGACGTGCGAGCGTGAGGTCCGATGGCGGGCGAAGATAAGAAAGGGACGGATGCAAGATGTTTGTAGTATTAAGTTGAACGGGTTGAATCAAGTTGTGTCGGAAATGAACGGTAGTGTAGTGAACAATGGTTATCTCGATAGTTTTAATTCGCATTTAGTCTCAAGTAATTTTACCTTTAAAGTTTATTTGAAAATATTCGATGGAAACTTTGTAATTTTTAGGTGATAATTTAAAATTTTTCTTTCGAATTGATAAAATAAAACTATTTTACACATTTTAAGTTTACAATACAGGGCATCGCGAGAATCCCTCTTAACAAGGTACCATAAAATCAGCAATGTTACCTTGCTTTTTATGCCTAACAACAAAAAGAGTTAAATAAACCTATAAATAATAGACAAAATTAGAATAAAGAAGACGTAATTGCCATGAGGAACGTTATAATCCAAGCATTTCATTATTAAATATATATCAATTTTCAATTACCCGTTACATAGATGACATGATAGAAAAAAATGTACGAAGTCGTTAAAAATCGATAATTCAGTTTCGGTACACAGTTACATCACTAGCAATAAATCTGTGCCGCTAAAGAAGCTTACGTCACTGCCGTATTGTTTATAAATGAGTGACCGACTCGTCGCAGAAGACGGTAATCTCAAACCAATTCGATGTTTTTTTTCCAACCAAATCTGAAAGGCCGCGTAAAGCTACTATTTAGATGCTGTACAATAATTCGAAATTTATTTTTTTTATGCGTTCATAGAAAAAACTTAACTTTCTGAGTCACATTAGAAATAAATAAATATTTTAGGACAAAAATTTACACAATTACTAGTCCCAAACTAAGCAACGCTTGTACTATGAGTACAAGATAACTGATAATCATACTTAAACATACTTTTCTTTTGTAAATTCATATTATAAATATATAAACCCCACGATACTGGAAAAACACTATGTTCTTCACACAATATTTTTCCAGTAGAGGGGTTCGAACCTTGGGCGCAAGAGGCAGCTACCCACTACGCCAATCAGGTCGTCGAAAGTGATTGTAAACCGTTGAAAGTACTGATTATAAAGTTTACTTAGGTTACTTACTGTTTACCCTCGATTAGTGTTGCATATCTATAGGCTATTGATAGACAATCGATTATCTATCGATAGTTTAGGTAAAAGCAATAGTATCGATAGTCTATCGATAGTATTGTCACGTGTCAATACTGTCGTTACTACTAATAGTATCGATGGCTCTCCAAGTGCCAATACTATTGATTACAGCAATACTATCGATACCATAGATACTATCGCATGCATTACTATCAATAGTATTGGTACTTGGAGAGCTTTCGATACTATCGGTAGTATCGACAGTATTGACTTAGATGATATTATCGATAGTACAATCGATATCCTGAATAGTTTTCGAGGTCAACTATCGATAGTCAAACTATCGATGGTTGTGCAACACTACCATCGAGAGTATTGGTTATAAAGTTACTGTATCTAGTTTAATGTTTTATCTTTTTATTGCCTTAATTTTACTGGAAAATAATTTTGGTCAGTGGTTTTTAAGTCGTAATGTTTGCCTTTATCCTACAGATCGTTGTGAAAGAGTTCTGGATGTTTGTGTTTGACATTGTTTAATTTTTATTTAGCATTCTATTACACTTCGCATTGTATAGTTACTACAAGAGAGGTTATATTCTTAAAATAGGCGTTTAATCTTAAATTTAAGCATGATGCCAAGTAGAGTCCTTCACCAATATGCAGTGTTC